GGAAAGGCGCGCGGGGTATCTGATGCCACCCCCGAGTTTTAGCATCCTAATGCGCTGACATACTTCTGACGACGTCACTTACCCTATCCAGACACACCCTTGGAGTCAAACTGGTGGAGCGGGGAGAATCGCCGAAACCGTGGGGTGGAAGTTTCCGATGGGGCGTGGCTTCACTGGCTTGCGACCGAAAGAACTCTAGCTCCCGAAAAGAGTCTCTGAGAATGGAATGGCGTTTGATATGTGAGTTTTCACTGGAGGAACGATGCGTTACAAAAATGACTGAACGGACGAGGGACAACGCGGTTCTTTATATGCGCCTCCGGAGCATTCTACAAAGCTTCGAAGGACGCCCATCCCCCACCCCCCTCGCCCTCCAGCAACACTGCGGCGACGCCTGTAGGATCGAACCCTAGGAAGGGCCTCGAGGCCACCCGAATTTGGAACATGGAACTTGTTGGAACAGCTTTGGGCATCACATCCGGGATATGTTTCTATCAGCCCTGCGGCCAGCACGGCGATCCTTGGGTACATGACCGCACATCCTTGTCCACGGCACTTGAGCTGGATCGACGGGTGCAAGCAAGCTTGCTTTCTTGTAGGGGGGGGGGGGGGGGGGGGGTTCAAGCACGAGGCAGCTCCGTATCTCCTTGTGTTTTCCTCGGACAGACTCACAGTGCCCTTGGTGCAAGTTGTGGCACGAATATTCCCAGTCGAGGCGAGGATTGGCTGGTTGTGTCTCGAACTGGAACCGTCAACCCCACGGGAGGGTACAGTGGGAGGTTGAGCGGAGGGAGATCAAACCAAGTGCTTGGATCTGCTCAACGCCAATGCCACCTCGGTAGGTCACTCGGGCAAAGCTCATCGTGGACATATCGGGCCAATTTGTCATTCCGGCATCAGATGAGATGGCAATGCTGAACTGTCTCGTTTGATGGAAGCGGTGGCCTGCCGGACGAGACAGAACCAGGCTTCGAGAAACACTTGTCAGTGTGTTTGATGCAGCCCCCCCGCCGCTAGAGATGGGACGATTTGGAATTCGATGCAGGACCGCGTTAGTGCCGCTACAGCTCTCCGGCACCTTGAGTCGAGCTCACGCTGGGTGAGCGGGCGCATCCCGGGCCCATACTGGCTGGATGGCCCACAAGCTTGTTGGCCGGATGTTTAGGCAAGCGGCCCGGCAAGCAGTTTTGCAAATCTTCGCCAATCGAGTGAATAAACACGCCACCAAGTTGCGGCGCAGGCCCGCCCTTGGGGTGTTTTGTTTGGGAGGGGCCTTTTGACCTTACCTAGGCTCCCACCTCCCTGGAAACACCCTATTTGTATTTTTGGGAGGTAGGGTGGGGAAGCGGGCAGCATCTGTGTCCTAACTTGGTAGGTAAGCACAGAAATCATTTATGTTACCATTGTCAACGCCCGGGGCACGCGGAAAACGCCGGTAGAGACGAGGTCGCCAGGCAAGCCGCCCGTCTAGGTGAGGTACACAGCATGCAAGAGATGCGGGTTCGGCGTCACCGCCTCTCCCGCGAAGTAATTGAATACAAACCCACCAATTGCTGCGCGTGCGCGCGTGTATCTAGTGTAGAGGATTGGAGATTTCAAATACCGTATCCGTCCCCCTTCCCCCGCCGGGGGGGGTGTTCGCATTGCATGGGAGCCCCACCTAACAAACGTGGCCCATTGGCATCGTCCACCCGGCTCGTAGGTGTAATTGGATGCCACATCGCCGCATCCTGCTATGCGTGGCCTGGGTATTCTCTGCTGGCGGCGGGGAAGCAACAAATGGCCCGGATACTGCGCGCTATCTTTATCTACTTCTCTCCCCTCCCCCCCTCTTGGCATTCTCCGCTGACGAGAGCCTTCCCTCCCTCCAGTGAAGGAGAACCACGGAAGACATTTTTGTCATGCTGGCAGGTTTGTGCATGTTTGATCACCGCAAGCACGCATCGGGTCCAAGATCGGATGGAAGTTCCGGATCGCTATTTGACGAACGCCGTCCGTTTCGTTAATAGTCTAGGAGATATTGCCTGTAGGGTATCGAATCTAAGATCCCCATCTACCTATTACAACACGACCGCCGGGCCCAGGCCTAGGGAGCGCGTAGTGTACAAGTATATGACGCTGACTAAGGAGACTATTCCTCTTCATGACCTCACCAACGGAGCGACCAACGACGACAGGGCCCAAGCGACGCCCGCACGCACGATAAGGTGCTGCAAGCCCAGCAGCTCCACGCTCCCCAGTGCCAGGCGGTCGGCAAGGAACACCCGCAGCACGAGCGATCGGTAGACGTTCCGCGTCTGCGCGTCAGGGTGCCTGAGGACGAAGCCATCCATGGACGAGATGCGGAAGTCGCGGATGTCCACCTTTTGCACACCGCCGCCGCCGCCGCCGCCGCCGTCCCGTCGGCCTTCACCCGGCGACGCGGCGGAGGTGAGTGGCCGCTCGATGCGTTCCGGCCTCTGGCGCAGGGCCCGGATGGCTCGGAAGCACACAAAGTCGACCACGTTGGTCGTCTTGAGGGGCGGCGCGGGCTTCTTGAGGATGAGCTTCGGGAGGAGGTCCGGCCGCGAGATCCATATCGTGGAGTTGTCCTGGAACTCGCAGCACACGGCCTCGAGATCGTGGGCGTAGTGCACGAAGCGGGCGTAGAACGCCGGCGTGAGAACCTTGAAGTCGAGCTCCTCGGCGCGTTTGGGGCTCTTCTTCGCGGCCGGGGACTGCATGACCTCGGGGCCGGCCGAGTCCATGCCAGCGGGTATGTACCTGACGGCGACGGCGGCCGCGGACTGCTCGACGAGGTGGCGCAGGTAGGCTCGGAAGATGGGCTCGAGCCGGCTCTCCGTCGCATCGGCCCGACGGCCCACGCTCTCCTTCAGCGGCTCCGGCCGGTACCATACGTGCAGCCTCCTGCCGAAGAAGAGGACGCCGGCCTCCTTGACGATGCGGGGGAACGTCAAGAAGCCGACCCACCACCAGCGGCACAGGAAGGCGAGCTTTTGGAGGGCGGACATGGAGCCCGGGTCGATGGCGGGGCCCGAGTTGAATAGGCGGGCAACGATCTTGGGGTGGTCTTTTGAGGACTTGAGAGTAATTGTGTTGTCGAGGGTGCAGGCCCCGCGAGCACCCGGGCCGAAGAAGTCGGTTGCCGAGAGGGAGTAGGCGCCCTTGCGCGAGTTGAAGGGGGAGACGTGGAAGTCCTTTGGCCATTGCTTGGTCATTCTCACCGTGGGCCTTTTGCCGTCGGACTCTTGGTCTCCTGTGGAGTCGGGCTCTGAGACGCCTTCCCCGGTGTCGTCGCCTCTTTTGAGGCGTTGCTCTGACGGGAGAGCGTCCGTGGTGAGGAGGTACATCCTGCGCTCGCCAAAGGTGTTGTTCACCTCGAGGATCATGGCCGTCAACTCCTTGTCTTTGGAGTAGAGGTACCAAAAGGAGACCGGGTTGAAGTGATACCCCATAAACCTGGCCGCAGTGACGAGATAGGCGCCGGGATACTGCGCCGGATCGGCGCCCTTGGCCGTGTTAGCTGTCAGCCCTTCATTGCCGAGCGAGGGCGCCCTCAACATACCTGTGATTCGAGATACGCATCCAGCTTTCCCCTGAGCCCGAGATGCCCGTTGCCGCGGTCGAGATAATCCGCAGGGTCGATATCAAACCACCCCTTGCCGGGCTGCGGCGACACGGAGAACAACGACGTCCAGCTGGGCGCCCGGACGCCGCTCGAGACCATGCCGGCGTAGGTGCCCCTCCAGCCGACGGGGATGCCCACGACGAGGTACGAGTACTCAAAGGCGTGCTTCTCAGGGAATGTCCGGCGGTGCGTCGTCGTACAGGGGATCAGCAGCGGTCTCACGGGCGTCGTCCATTTCTCGGTGTCTCCCGGAACCGCCGCGAGTCCCAGGAGGAAGCGGCAGACCTGGACGACGACGAAGCCGAGAATGAACCCCGGGAGCAGGAGGAGGAGCTGGTGGCGCAGAGTGTGCGTGTCGACGTAGCCTGAGACGAGATCCGCGAGGGCGTGTCTGTTGCGAAGGGCCGAGAAGAGGATGAGAAGGACGGTATCGAGACGGCCACCGAGGAGAGAGTAGTAAACGAAGCCTACCAACAAAGTGAAGGGCCGGAGGCTCGAGTTGGCGGCAGACATTGCGGGCTGTGGTATAACGGTGAACCGTCACGGCGACGGGCCGGTTGGGAGAGGGTGATGAGCCGGACGGGGTACGGCGCGAGATGCCGTTCAGTGGGTGCGGTCCTTACGGCGACGAAGTCATGTCTTGGTCACCACACCATGAACATCACAAACCAGCTGGGGCGTTTTTCTTTCTTATTCCTCCTCCTTCTTTTTTCTTGAAGAACATCAAGCAGTTCCCGTCAAGGGTCACGGAGCTTAGCTGGGTGTTTCCTGCTTGCCAGATTGGGGGGATGGCTCGGTCGAGGAAGGGCTGGTTGTGGGGCTGGCGAGCGTGTCTCGATGAGATCAAGACTGCGCTGGTCGCCCTGGTCCCGGGTCCGATCGCGAGCTTAGTCATCTGCAAGACGACCCAGGGTGAGGTTTTAGTGCGTGTTTGCTACATTGTACGATGTACATGCCATACCGGTTGATGCGATGACTTCCGGAGATAGAGATGACTGTGCCATATAATAGAAGCTCAATCGGGGCCAACAAAGTCCTTTACCATAGGGAAACATGGGACAGTAATACGATCATCTACAAGTGCCCAACAGACAAGAGCGAAGGCGATCAATTGGAGTGTCGCACAACGGCAAAGCAGGTACCGAATGAGGGACTCGACCACCCAAGCCTAGCGGTGAGTGAGGGGAGACGGTACTCTGGTCACTGGAGGCCTGCCTGGGTTCTAGCGGACTGACCCGGCGACTGTAACCTTGATGGGGGCCTCGGTCTCTCTGCGCCGCAGCCGCTTTCTTTACGTGAATGTGGCGCAGCCGGGCAAAAGGTTGAAAATGTCAGCAGAAGCCGTACATAGGAGTGAGTGTAAGCAGCACAGCTGAGGGCTCGGAAGGGAGAAAGCCTCGCCAAGCTGAGCAGAGGCACCCCGCCAAATCCCCTTCTTGCTTGCGCCGGGGCAGCTTCTGCTCCTCCTGCTGCGGCGTTAGGCTCGTGCAGGGATGTGCCACCCTCTTACGTCCGCGACGCCGGTTGACTCAGTCCCCCCTTCTCCCATCCCCCACCAAGCATTTTCGTCCTTCCATCGCCTTCTATAACACTTATTGCCGACCGGCCTGTCCTCAAAAGGCCACAAATCCACACTTCCCTCTGCCACACCAGCCACACAAAGAGCCCGAACAAGGACCCCCAAAAACTGACGCAACAGAACCCTCTTTTGCGCAACTTCCACTTTGACAACCACGATCACCACCACCACCGAACAACAAGAGAAAGGAACAGCACGCCAGTTCTTCTCTGACCTTGCCAATCGATAGGCCCAGCAACTTGCATATCCTCTTCACCATCCATCACACACGTACTGCCCACCATGGATGACTGGGACACCGCCACCAAGATTGGCTCCAAGGTCCGCGGCGGAGCCGCGCAGAGAGAAACTGTCATCAAGGGAAAGAGCGCTCTCAACGCTGCACAGCGCAGTGGTTCCGTCATTGCAACCGAGAAGAAGTACGCCGCCGGCAATGCTGTACGTGATTCCCCTGTTTCCCAAAGACCAACCGCCTTTGGCAGTTGCCCTTACGTACCCGACCATGCTTGACATCATGGCCTGTCCTTTCACCCCTCCATTCCCCACTCTTCCTACATTGACGACGAGGGAGGAGAGCAGCCACCAGAACAGCCTCGCTCTAGCTTCCTCCCCCAGCCCTTCAAATGAGACAGAGAGACAAAGACAGGAGAGAGAGGCCAGTGAACTGACAATTTTTCTTCCCGTTTTTCAGGCCACCAAGCCCGGTGTCGAGGGCCAGCGCCTGACCAAGGTCGACCGCTCCGACGACATCATCAAGCCCAACACGGTCGGCAAGCAGGTCGGCGACGCCATCTCCCAGACGCGCCAGAAGATGGAGCCCAAGATGACGCAGAAGGACCTCGCCACCAAGTGCAACACCACCCAGTCCGTCGTCGCCGAGTTCGAGCGCGGCTCCGCCGCCCCCGACCAGAAGATCCTCGCCGCCATGGAGCGCGTCCTCAACGTCAAGCTGCGCGGCAATGACATTGGCGCCCCCCGGTTCGCCAAGAAGAAGTGAGCGGGTTGAGTCCCGGTCTCCCGCGACGGAGATTGCTTACCCTCTCGCCCTTTGTTGTGTCGAAACCCAAATGGTGGCAAATGTTATGGGAGGAGGACGGGAGGACGGGAGGACGGGGGGCTTTTCGGGGCGAGGGAAACCCTGCGAGGTTCAGCGCTCTCGCAGCTCTCGCCCATATGATCCCTAGCCCTTCCTTTCGCTGGGAGTCTGGTCTTTGGAAGGTCGAAAAAGGTCTTGATTTATGACCCGGTTGGTTGCATAGCACACGAACAAGACTGAGAAACATCAAAGCTGGACAGAGTGTCTCGAGAGATTGGCTCTCGACGATGGTTACGGTTCCTAGACGTTTTACAGCACAATAGATGAGTCGGCACTGCAAAGCTGACGATTACACGAATTCCATTATCTGCGTCCCGTCCGCAGTGTTTTGTCTATACATATGTCTGTCTGTCTGTGTGTGTGTGTGTTTTTCTCAGCATTTGGGATATCTAAACCAGTGACTTGTCCATCTGACCCATGAATTGGTAGGCCGCTGGACATAGACCAACAGACACACCCCCGAAGAACCGAACGCCCACCTACACTGCCTCTTCTTCCGTGGTATCTTCCAAACTCCGTATGCGAAAAACCACGCCATGCTACGCCATACCATGCATCTATCCATTCCAAAGATAAAACAAGAAAACCTCTCATATATCCCGCACAACTATTATCCTCGTCCCTCTATGCGGAGAGTCTATTCACCCGCGCGGCGAGCTCCGTATCGTACGGCTTCCGTCTTGTCTGGACGACGACGTGCTCCTTGCCGCCTAGGCTGGCTATTCTCAACCACTCAGGCGCAACCTCGTTGGCGAGCAGATGCACCGTCTGGATACCTTCTTCCACGGGCATCGGCACCCGCACGGAATCCTTCAGCTTCTGCTGCAGAACGGGCATCGTAAACGACATGACCGGCTGGCCAGCCGCGTTCGACGAAGAGACGAGCATCGAGATGATGGCAGCAATGTCAACGGCACGTGCCAGCGCTCGCTGCCTCGCAAGCTCGGGGCCGCTGGGCAGCTGGATGTGGGCGTTGGCCTCTTCCTTGGCGCGCAACCTGTCGAGAAGACTCATTTTGGTACCGTCGGGTTTAAGAGCCGGGCACTTTGTGGCCGCCACTTGTGCCTCCTTCTGTTGCTTCTTCTGCAGGATGCCGTCCTTGAGCGCGCTCAGGGCACGCTGGCCTTTGGCGAACACGGGGTTTTGGGAGATGGCGGTGTGGCGGACGGTGATGTCGGACTTGGGGAGGTCGTCAAAGGTCAGGCTCTCAAAGCACAGGTCCAGATCGGACATCTCATCCGTGGCTCGCTGGGCGCACATGACGTGCAGGTTCTCCTCGAACTGCCTGCACAGCTGATCTTCATCGACGCGGCTGGCGTTCTTGGTCGGGTCCATCTCGAGGCAGAGCTTGCCGCGCCCGTAGTCCGTCACGATGAAGGGGGAGCCCATGAATCCGTCTTTCCGGTCAGCAGGATTCGCGTCCTGGATTGCAATGCATGTTCGGATATCGTCGACTGTGACCCTCCGCTTGCCCCAGGTGCGGGCGACGTGCGGTGTAATGCTGCTGATGTCGAGGGGTGTGTTGTTGTTTTGGTGCACCAGTTGGAGGGAGACGGTCTTCAGAATCGCCCGCTGGAGGCTCAGAAGCTCAAGGAGCTCGGCTGGCAGTTGCTTTCTGGCCGGCTCCTCCTTAACTTCAGGCTTGGCGGATGCATCGTGGTTCCTCGACCGCTTGACCTTTTGGTTGGCCTTGCGGACCTCGGACTTTGCTTGGGAAATGACGTCCGACTTGCGTGTCTTTCGGCGGGTGTCGGCAAGAGTAGACGATGTGTTCCGGGGTGAGAGGGTGGTTGTTGCCGACGTGGGCTCCTCCTTGACAGGAACAGGCTCATCCTTGCAGAGTCGCTGACGCTTCAGAACATCAGGCGACAGGACGTTGTTCCTGGTTTGCCTAGCGGGGATTTCGTCTTCAATGGATCTAGCCTTGCGCTTTCTAGAGGAGCTTGGCGTGGGAGGAATGGTTCTCTCGGGGCTGGATTCGATCTTGATCTCCGTCGTGACGTCCACTGTCGTAACTGGGCGAGAGCTGGGTAGTTGGATATAGAAGACCTTCTTCACAGAACTGTCCTCGGGAACAGGCTGCGTCTTGGAAACTCGACCGTACTTGCCGATGAGGTTGATCGCCGGCGAGGGATCGGGCTTGGCCTGCCGACGGGAAGCTGCACGAGCCATTGCGTCGAGATGTGTTACTGCTGAATGTCTCGGTGGATATAAGACGCCGAAAGACCGGTCGACAGAAGGTTCAAGGTGAAGCTGCAAAGCGCGGGATGAATGGCAAGCGTTACGGGAGTCTCAACTGGTGTAGAGAGAGTAGTGTGAAGTGATGGGAAGTCGCGAGGAAGTGTGAAGAGGTTTTGTATATTGGAAGGGGAGTGGGGAGCCGAGATGATGGAGCAACGACCGCTAGCAACGCGCCTGGTCAGGGGTCGCAGACTCCACGTCCGCGACCGACGCGTTTTTTGGTGGTAATACATAATGGAAGTCGCGTTAAGTGGGTGGGGCGCGTCGGTTGCGCTGGTCCATGCACCCGCGACGGGGCAACCCGCCAGCATCCTTACTTTTTTTTTTCTTCTTTCCTTTTTTAAACGCCCAACGAACGGAAAGCAAAGCACGACACTACGTAGGTACCTACCCAAATGTGGAGAGACACAGAGAGCGGCCCAAGAGAAACAAGGGGAGACAATAAAGAAGAAGGAAAGCCTGTACTTGGCGTTGCAGTCCGATTTTGCCAATCGCATTCAAATCACTGTTTGGAGCTCGTCCACCTGTCCATGCTCGCTTCACACCTGTTCTGTTCGATCCACTTCATGCCAGACATGGGACGGCCCTTCTCCCGGTGAACACCCTCCTTGGGACCACCCAACTCGATATCATATTGTGTTGAGTATTGGACGTGATAGTCATACTGTGTTTTTCTAACTGTGTTGCTATCATCGTGTACCTGTGCGACCCTAAGAGGAACCGCCTTGAAAACGTAGCTTGGTAACTCGATATCACATTCAAAGCAGGTCAAGTAGTGGAACGGTTATTGATATCAATGTGATTTCATAGTTGGAAGACAATTCTCCTTGGTACGCGCGAATGCAATCATACAATTACGAGCAATCCGTAGATGCTCCTCGTCCCTAGCTAACACCAGTTTTCGGGTTTTGTTGCCAATACCATGTGCAGACCAAGAAGAAACCCCAACGTTGTTGCCTGCCCTGCTCTTGAACGTAAACACCGTTCGCGATTCGAATGACTTTTTTCTCTGTATCCCATTTTGCCCTTTGCTCCCATGATAGTCCGTATGCTGGTTGTACAAGTGAAGAGACCCGTATGTGTCGAACATAGGGCATATTGCTCATTGGTCGTAGACCCGACTGAGGCAGTCTAGCGGCGGATCGATGACTGCCAGTGTTCCGCAGCGAAAGAGACTGGGCTTGGTGGTGGAGGGGCGGGTACGCTGTAGTCGTTCTCTCGGATCATACGAACGGGCGTCACTGGGCGGTGGGTGGTCGAGGCGAGAGTTGCGTTGAGACTGGTGTAGAGATCGTGGCCCGTCATCAGACGCAAATTCCTCCGCTGGGGAGGAATTGGCATAGGCGAAGCAATCTGACTTGCGGGCATTTTGGTGATGTTGTGGTCGTGGGCTATGAAGAGCTGCCACGTAGTGTCAGAGACGCAACGCCTCAATGACACCGTAGATGGTCGACGGGATTCACGTACCGGGAAGATTGGGTCCTAGGGACAAGTCTGGGGATGTGACGGGGGTTTGTAAAGCCTACGGTAGATAGAGAATCTTGTTTGACAAGCGCTGGGCAGGGTTGAAATGATGTCGATCCAGACAAGATAGAGCGGAGCTTTAGAACTATAGATGGGAGCAGTAGATGGGGTGGGAGTGGCTCGTCCGGATGGGAGTGCAGGTGATGGAGTATTTAAGTCGGGAGGCTCGAAGCAGTGGCACAGAGGGAGGTAGGTAGGTAGGTAGGTAGGCAGAGAGGAGGACAGGGCCAGGAGCAAAAGGGTGTGACGGGGGTGGGGGAGGGCGTTTGTGCGCGATCCGTAACAGAGATTTCACAATTCCTTCCTTGTATCGTAGACACCCAGGGTCGATCAAGTCGGTGCGCAAACACGGCAAGGGTGGTGGAATGCTTGGGGGGGAGAAGGGGAAATAAATAAATAAAGAAAGGACCCAGGCGAGCGGTCGAGAGTGTGGGCTATGGAATCGAGGCAAGGCGCGGGTAAGGTTGCAGTAGCCCGGGGTAAAAGCGTGGGGAAGAAATCAGGGGTTGGAACGAAGAAGGGAGATGAGCAGAGACAATGATTAAAAAAGTCTGGGGCGAAGAGGAGAGGAGAGGAGAGGAGAGGAGAGGAGGAAAGAGAGGATGAGACTTGTCCAGGGCAGGGATCAGAAACAGCCGGATGCCCTCATATCCCGGGGAGAAGTGATATGGTCTTTGACTTGGGATCATAACGGGGCTTACAAGACAGGCCTGGAGAAGAGGAGGGAAAGTGGACCAGGCGTTCGAACGGGCTGAGAGGAAGACGGGACAAGCTTGATAAGGCAACGGGTACATGTAGGTATTCGTACGTGGTACAAGACTGTCTTTCAGTTGGCTTGCGGAGCTGGCACGCGCGAGGCTTGAGATGTGCAATGTCGCAATCTAAGGCAAAGTACGGATACAAGATGAGAGATGCACCGGGGGCGATGGGTCTGAGCAGGACAGAGCTGGCTGGCGTGTGTCAGGACGGATGCGCAAGATGAATGTCTCAGTGGCAATGACGGACTTTGTTAACCACTGCTTGCTTTTTAGCCAGCTAGCCGAGTGCTCTCCCGTGGTACGGTACTAACCCTCCAGGGGGGGTTGATACGTTGCATCTCGAATAAAACAAAAGTGTACATGTTTCCTTACCCGTACTATTTCTATTTTATTTTCGTTCGTTCTTATACTCGATTTTAGGCATGTCAGCTAGCCCAAAGGCAACAACATGCCATGCCGCGTCCAGTCTTTTGTGGTGTGCCGCGGCCCGCAAGCCATCTATTTTTTTTTATTTAATTTTTTGGCCAGCCCCAAACAAGCCCCCAGTCTGCAAAGATGATCCCCCGGCTTTCACTGGGCGCTGGAAGGGGAGGAATGTTCCATGACAGCCGGGGTGGATACTGTGGTGCCTAGGTATGCCCTTGCCAGGATCATGACCACATTGCCCCTTTGGAGAGGAGAACTGGCCATACGGGCTGGCCGTCCGGGGGGTTTCGGTGTAAGAGGGCGTGATTGTTGGGGAAATGGGAACAAATGGTAATCTGTCTTGGGCGATACAGAGCACACGAGAGAAAACAATGGAAGCCAAAGGGAGACCGGTCTGGGTTTCTGCCGGCATGTCCCTGCCTCCATCCCCCGGGTGTTTACAGATACGTAGGAGATGGCTCTCAACCAAGGATCCCCAGGGGACAGACAGCCAGCACATCCGCACCGACGTACATCTCAGATAAAGAGATGAGCTAGTCGGGGAAACGGAATTGTTTCTGCAAAGGTTTCGGCGAGCTGGGGTACAGCACGCACGCATGCACAGAAGGCGGCAGCATCACGCCGTGCTTGTAATTATACACCAGCCACTGGACGAGGACGAGGACGAGGACGACTCCTCTGCCAGCATCTTGCACACCGTTTTCACCGCCATTCGCCCTGGATCATGCCGGTCATGTCGCGCCGTCCTTCCTGTTGTCATTGGTTTGTGCGGCCGGCGGGTTTTCCTTGCTTATGCAAGTACAAATCAATCCCACGGCAGCCTGGAGCATGCGTTGGGGGACTTGCGAGCCAAACGAAAGGTAAGGCGAAGAAGGACGCCTTCTCCGAGAGTCCGTCTGATCTGTCCAAGGTCATTCCATCCACCGGAAGTCGGAACTTGTACCTTGTTTATTTCCTGACTGAGGTACTTAGCTACCTTGCAGGGACGTGGAATCGAGCGAGAGAGAACCTTGCTGTTTGCCTCAAGCGCCAATGCTCTCAGGTCTCCTTTCCACGGTCTAGAGCAAAGATGCATCTCAACTCCCATGGCGCGCCGCCCGGCTGCGTGTCCAACCCTTCTCCTCTCCTCGCCCTCCTCCACATTGGCCACGATCAAAGACGAAATAGAGAGAACTCAAGGATCGGCAGTGTCAAGCATCCAAAGTCCCCAGAAGGGCCCGGCAATACACAGTACGAAATAGAGGCTAGTTTCAGCCACCCCTGTCTGATCACAGAAGCGACGGGGGGGGGAGACAGAATATCCTCCAATGGTCATGGGCTATCGGTTGGTATTCCTGGAAGCGATGGGGTTGCGCAGTATGAATCCCAGGTAGGTAGCCCATGGCATTTCTCTCTTTCGTTTATGCTGTGGCATCGTCCGGTGGCAAGTCGGTACGCCGGGTCGTCGGATCCGTCTGGACATGATGAAATGACTCTGCTTGATAGGGACGGGGAAGACACGGAAGGAGGGAGGGTGTTGAAATTTTGTTGTCTGGCCCCACTTGCCAGGTACGTAAACTACGTGCCTACCGGTAAGGGGAATGTGGGGTTTTGTTACGGTTTGCGGAGAAGCACCCCCCAAAGTAAAGAACCCCCAACTTCCTGCATTCCCCAAACTCAAACTCTGGGGATAGCTGAGTGACACGGGCAGGACTCATCGACTGGACTGGTAAGCCACGAGGCGGCCTAGACCTGGAACGGTGCCCCGAAGTGCAGTCTACACCCTCCGGTGCCTCGTAATGTGGCCATTAGTCTTTTTGGGACAGGGACATATCATTACCCAGCATAAAACTACCGGTACTTGCTTCCAAGCCAACGCCTACGGGGGGGATACTGGCTGAAAATGATGCGAAATCAGGAAACCTCGAGGCGTGGCGCACCCATTGCTTACGCAACCCACCAGCCTCATTCATCGACGATGCCGGACAATCAGTGGGGTTTGTTCTTTTTCTCTCTCTCAAGCCCACGTCGTGCAACCAAGCAGCCACCTCGTATATGGCTTCACTATTGACACGGACGACGTAAATAGTAGTAGTAGCAGCCTCCTGCGACTAGAGTCGTGTCTCCCGTCACGGTCTGGTCTGGTCTGGTCTGGTCTGGTCTGGTCTGTGCCCCTTCAAGCCCCGGTACGACCAGACCGTGGCTCTTTCTGCCACGATCCAAGGCTTCATTTCACCCTTCGTGCCAACTGTCATGGCGGGGCCGCCCTCTTGTCCCTGCATTCTCCCTCCACTCCGTGAGCCCCAATCCGGTATGACAATCAGAGTCTCTTCTCTGGCTTTCCCGGATTATTTGTGTCACCGACACTTGGACGCACCTGGATGCGACTCAGTCGGCTTGACTTGAGCCTGCCGGCCTCGGCCTACGGCTGGCGCTACGCTTGGGCGGGTGGGATCGACGTGACAAGTCCGATACTCCTCCATCACACTTTCCATTGCGCCTTACCGCCCAAGAGCTGCAGCTCCCCCGGACCGATTTGTTGTGTGCAACTCCTTTTTCGACCCCTCGATAGCTGACTGGCCATGTCGTGTCTGCGGCCCGGCGACTATCCGGCGCCCCCCAGCGACAATTCACATCTGCAAGGGCGGTGTGCACAGCTGCATAGCTCTTCATTGGCTCCTTCACTTCGCCCAATCTATGGCCGCCTGTCATGAAGCACCCATTGACCTGCTCGCTACGGGGAGCTGACGACCTTGTTACATACAGATACTCTCGTTCCCCGCATGTCCGTCCACCCAACTCCTAATTCCATCCTATTCTACAGCTCGAATATGCACCCGCAGCTCTCCGTATCACGCCACGATTGCGTCACGGTATGCCTTTCCTCCTGGGAGCCGGCAAAGCCTCCTGCGTGTGTATGTATCATCAAACCAACGACATCGATTTCCCCCCGGACTCTTGCGGATATGTCTGCTGAGACCCTGGATTCCAGTTCATGGTTTGGTTTGTATGCCGTAATGTCCCCCACATGTAGTTGAGTGAGGTTCCGGCCGACTGGCGGCCTTGGGCGAACAGATGCTTGGGACTAAAGACGTCCCGGATATCAAGAACAGTCTGGGCGCAATAAGATTTGCCAGCTTGAAGCACCTCGGCGTTCGAGGCAGAGAGAAAAGAAAAAAAAAAAGTCAAAGTGCCATTACGATATACCTTTCTCACCTCCGGAGTCCTTTCCGACCTAGCGTTACATTTCGATGGCGAGTCATATATTGTGCAGTTGGTCGCAATGCCTGCGCGAGCTCTGGCTCCTGTGTACCTTTGCCACAACGGCGGTATGCAGCCAATGGAAACTGTTGGGAGTCCGAGTTGCTGAAACTGTGTTTGTTGTGGTCTGCAAACAACGCGTTGCTGGCCGGACCTTGAATATGTAATGAGCACACCGGAAGTTGATACGTCCTCTCTGGTGCCCGGATCAGACGGTGCAGACCTCTGAGCAACTTGTTGAGGTCGTCAACGAGAGGAGCCCTCTGCAAGCGGGTAGACGTGATCCATCCCAGGGACGTCCCATATCTTTCGAGTCATCCCGGTTTCCGTCGTGGCCTGGAATGACTTAGAAACATTGGACGGTTCTGGTGTGACCGGCTCTTACCGCCGTGGCCCCGATTCGGCGACGGAAGCACCGGCATGCTTACCCAAGGATGCAACCACCGGCTGCAATCAGAGTTTGGACGACATAATATGGGTCGACAGCGCTGGCTTTTTTGGGGTAACCAAAAAAAAGTAGTTCACTGGCGGGTTTGGCTTACCCGGGGTTGAGTCCGGGGAACTGTCCTTGCACAGGCGTGAGTAGGCGCAACGAGGCCAGTTAACTTTCGCGTGTCGTTTCAAAATACAAATATTGACGTTGGGACCTGTGCCACAGACTGATCCTGCTCTGTTGAAGCGCCTGGGCCAGCACCCCCTCCCCCCCGGCGTCGTCCGGCGAACTCTTCCTCCTTGACAACGAGACTAGGTGAACGAACCCGTTTAGCAACTTTGTCTCTGCGGGGCACTGCTAAAGCGGCCCTGGTCACCGTCGCATTTTGCACACGAAGATCCTGCTGCGCCCAGGTGTCATTACGAGTGGCACGCCGTTGACTCGTCGTATTCGGGTGTCTTCGCCGCGCAGGTCCGACCGTCGGAATCGGCGCCCGCGCCAGATAGCCCTGTCGTTCGGGCCGTAAGGTGGGGCACAGAGAGCCACCTCCGGTAGTGCAGTCTACCGTGTGGCCGTCGGTCAGCGACATGCTTTAGAATGGACATTCCGAGACTTGATGAGTGACCCGCCGCATGTGTGCAGTTTTTACCGGGCTCGCTCTGGGTCTTTATCACAATGTCGCATTCGTTCCCGAGACTTGGCGTCAAGTAGATATTGGGAAGAAAAGGAGAACCGCCAACCCCAGTGTGGGTATCCTGGCCAGTTGCGTGAGCCACCCGTGAGGTTGCCTGATGTACTTGGCAAGATGAAACGTCTAGATCGGTTCGTATTCACAGGCCCTGCTACAGCTGGCGAGTGGAAACTACGCCTCCGACTGTGGAACGAAAAACGGCCTCAAGAAGATCCCGGCTTACTCCATATCGCTTTTGGACGAGGTGTCTTCGCACACCCGAGTCGTGGCGTGGCAGATCTCATCCGTCTCGTTGTGCGAGAACCTTGCGTCCAACTGCGGGTCTTGAACAATCTCTCTACGTCCTCGGAGAGGTCGCTTTCGGTACCTACCTAGGTAGTCTGAAAGAATACTTGCCGAAATGACCCCACAGCCTTGGCGTTGGTGAACTATCTCGAAGTTATAGCATAATACTCAAACAAAGCCAATCTGCCTGTCGTTCTCGATCTTTTGGCTCGAGATCGTAATGCGGTACATATCAAGGGTTGCTTTGACGCAGCGAGGATTCATTGGGACTCGAGCACCACCTGCGCGGCAGTAAGATGGTGGCTAGTAAAATAGGAGCAGGTGGACAAGGCAATTTTTCTCAATGCAACAGGGTACATGGCAATACTATCACTCGGCGAGATCTTCATCATGAAAGAAAGTAAATGTTGTCCGTTGGGACCAACATGCTGTAGTCGCTCGCACTCCCCACTTCGCTCCACGTTCCTGCGTCATACGAGTACTTATCCCCCTCTCCAATATCTCTATCAAGTACTCGGCAGAAACAGAAAGGTGCAAAGATCATGCCACAGGATATGAGGGGCTACCGACCGGGGTTTCTGCTGTTACCCCGCGTATGGTGAGCAAAAGTATACACAGCCTGCTTTCTGAGGATTAGCAGCTTGCAGTTGTCTACAACTTCTTATCTCGATGGCCAACGACTCGTACGCCCCCAAACACCAATCTAAATTGCAATCTACACACCGTCTGCGGCACCGTTACCGTCGTATCCGAATCAGCCGAAAAGAGAGTCGATGGCCGATCCCGTCCAGGCTTTTCGCCATCAATGGGACAGGCACCCCACTCGGTCTGTCACCATTCTCCTGTCTTTAGCCTTCCTACTATATCGGTTATTGGTAACTGTGAGGCAATATAGAAGACTTCGGCACTTCAAGGTTTCACCGTTGGCCGCCGTATCAAGACTATGGTTTCCCCAGGTCGTGACTGGGCAACATGGAGACCTCGACTTGTATCCTGTCAGTCAAAAATATGGTGAACTATCTCGTGCTTTTATGGTTATGTGGTTACCTTATCTTGGTGTTCTTCGCAAGAAGCAGCCACTTATTTGAGACCAACGTAGGATCACTCGCGCGCGTCGGCCCCAACGGCCTCCTCAACGACGATCCAGAGCTCTTGAAGCGTATGCTTGCCGTGCGTAGCGAATATCGCCGTTCGGACTGGTACGACGGCATGCGCTTCAACCCGGCCAGGAACAACGTCTTGTCGTCGAGGAACGAGGATGAGCACTCCAAGCTGCGGTCCAAAATGGCGGCTGGTGTAAGCCACAGCCTCTCCCGTTACCCCCCTCAAGCCACTTCATACATTAACCAACAAGCATGACGCGCCTGACATTGTGTAGTACTCTGGCCGTGAGGTGGAAAACCTTGAAACCAAATTCGACGAAAACCTATCGCGGCTTTTTACGCTAATCGAAAGGTACATCGATGCGGACAAACCGTTCGACTTTGGCCGCAAGGCGCAGTTCTTCACCCTGGACGTCGTCTCGGATCTCGCTTTTGGAAAGCCGTTAGGCTCGGATGTGTACGAGTACATCAAGACGACGGAAAAGAGTCTTCCGACGTTCGTGGCGTCAACTGTGTACCCTTGGATTATCCGCCTGTCCGCCTCGCCCCTGTTCCGGGCACTGCTGCCGTCGGAGAAGGACCCGCTAGGACTCGGAAAGGTGATGGGGTGAGATGCTTCTTATCCGCTTTGACCTAGCTTGATATCGAACAATAGACTCGCTCGCTGGTCCTCGAACATAGAATTGCCAAGAAGCAGGCCGCTGAGCGCTTCGGGCCCGAAAGAAAGGTTCGGAAGGATATGTTGGGCTCCGTCGTCGCGCATGGCTTGACACAGGGCGAAGCCGAATTCGAGATCATCCTCCAAATGTAAGGTCATCACCACTTCATTACCTCCAGGGTCCCCCCCCCAAAAAAGAACCCCTATTCAAGCATTGCTGGCTCCGACACAGTGGCAATCACAATCCGTGCCACTGTCCTATTTGTAACCACCAACCCGCGCGTTCACGCTAGGCTCATCGCAGAAGTATCCTCCGCTGCGTCTTCGACTCACCGCCCCATGATCACCGACGCGGAGGCCGGAAAACTGCCCTACCTCCAAGCCGTTATCAAAGAGGGGCTCCGCATATTCCCGCCCGTGGCGGGGATCACGGCGAAGGAGGTCCCCGGCGGCCGGGAACACGTGGAAGGGGCAGTTCATTCCCGGCGGCACACGTATTGGGCGGTCCGCGAGGTCTGTGTTCCACCGGGAGGACATCTGGGGCGCGGACGCACGTGAGTTCCGCCCGGAGCGCTGGCTAGCTAAGGATCAGGGCGGGTTGACGCCGGAGCAGAAGCTGCGCGCGATGGAGTCGACGATTGAATCGGTGTTCAGCTATGGAAAGTACCAGTGTCTCGGGCGGCTCTTGGCGCTGATAGGGTTGAACAAAACTTTCTTGGAAGTAAGCTGGAGCGGGTCTGTCGTGTTGTTCTCCCCAGGCTGCTTTTGAAGAATATTGGTTGGCTATGTTGCTGACGTGGGCTTTGGCAGCTGCCTCGACGATATGAGCTAATCGTATGCGATTCCTTGAACCCCTGGGAATCTTTCAACTTCGGTACCCACGCTCAATCAAATTACTGGATCAGGGCCCACCGACGAGAGTAGCATTGGACGCCACGGTGTTTTGGTATGGCTTAGTTAGGTGGCGCGCCTACTTGCTTTCCATCCCTCATGGAACAGGACAAGCGTGTATAAATGGTATATGGACGGCTAAAAAAAAGACCAAATCTGAGCCGTGGCTAGAACAGGTAAATACAGTAATCAATTATGACCCCGACAGGCAAGAATGAAGATTACGGAAACTCGGGTATTCGCTACATAGAGTTGTTTCGATAACAAAACCAGGGTGTGTGAAGGGAAATCAACACTCCGTGGTGTCGAGTTCGAGGTTGGCGACCGCAAACGTGTCCACGTGAGGCTTGACTCCCACCCGTATCCTTGAGTTCAATCTATCGTTAATCGATGTTTAGTCTGATATCCACTTCCAGCTAAAGGATTCTTTTGCAAAACATCTGGGCGCCGTACTGGATTGGCAACACCGTGAGCCCGAGCCATGAAACGTGTATTGGTTTGTTTCAATGCCCACTACCAGCTTACTTTATCTGTCGGCCGACCTGCCAAATGGACGAAATCGCGAATGCTTCGAACAGGCCTATTCGATGCTTTGTTCTTAGCCACGCAGAGGAGACTGGTCGCCGACCTTCTTCAGACTTTCTTGCTCGAGACTCCTCCCAGCGCTCGCGCCAGCAGCGAGGTTAGAAAAAGGTATAACACCCAATTGGCTAGCCCACCCGGGTGAACGACCCCCTCCCACAGAGCCATGCTTATTGGCCGCTCCACATCCCCAGAGCCCCCCGTTGCAACCCCCGGATTGGCCGGCTGTCTGTCGTGCCTCGGCATCTCTCGCCTCATCTCGGCTGCTAGCTCCTCACGTCATTCAGACCTCCAAAGTTGCCGCGGGCGCTTACTTTTTTTGTTATTTGTTCATATCTTATTTATCTTTTTTTGCTTCTTTTCTTTTTCAAAAGCAATTTGCAACTGCGTCGAATCACGATTTGTCTTTCAGCTACACGAGTCACGCCTAATCGCGCGGATTTCCTCGCTGCCGTAACCCGGTTCTCGACCCCGTACTGCCGTGCTTTCACTGTCTGGCTGACTGCGCCACATCTCACCGTATCTCAACTACATCCGCCGACATCAGGTCAACCAGCCCGCAATGTCTTCTTCTGGCGAGGAAAAGAAGATTGTACTTTACCACTACTCCGCTTCGCCGTACGCGAGGCGGATCGTGTGGTACCTTGCGCTCAGGGGCATCCCATACGTCCAATGCGTACGTCTGCCACGCCACTATCTTTTTTTTTTCTCATTCACCAGGAAACTGTGCACTAATACGACACGCCAGATGCAACCCCCCGTCCTCCCCCGGCCGGATGTCGAGAAGCTCGGCATCGTCCACCGTCGGATCCCGATCCTCGCCATCGGCCGCGACATCTACTACGACACCCGCCTCATGCTCCGCAAGCTCGAGCGGCTCTACCCCTCGCATCCGCGCCTCGGCGCCGCCGTCCCGGAGCAGGTCGCCGTTGAGCGCCTCCTCGAGGCCTTCGTGATCGACGGCGGCGTCTTCTCCAACGCCGCCAACCTGCTCCCCACGGACCTGCCGTTGCTTCGGGACCCCAAGAACAACTGGTTCAAGGACCGCGCTGACTACCTCGGCGGCAAGCACTCGGCGGAAACCATCCGGCGCGCGCGGCCGACGGCCGTCGACGAGATCCGCCGCACGATGGAGCTGCTCGAGACGACGCTACTCGCCGACGGGCGGGACTGGGTCCTCAAGACGGACGGGCCCGGGCTGGCGGACATCGAGGCCGTGTGGCTGCCGCACTGGCTCACGCGCATCCCCGGCGCGCTGCCCGAGGAGCAGATCTCGGCCGAGCGGTTCCCCAAGGTGTTTGCTTGGATCGGGCGCTTCCAGAAGGCCGTGTCGGCGGCGAAGAAGGCGGCCCCAGAGGTTGCGACGGTGTCCGGGGACGAGGCCGCGGGCATCGTCGTCTCATCGCCGTACAACGAGGCTGCGGGCCGGGTCGATGCCGCGGACGCGCTCGTGGCCGCCGAGGGACTCGCGGCGGGCGACGACGTCATCCTCTGGCCCGCCGACACGGGCGCCTCGCACAAGGACATCGGGAAGCTGGTGAGCCTCGACGGGGACGAGGTGGTGATTGAGGTCCAGGGGCCCAAGGGGCCGGCGAGGGTGCACGCGCCGCGACATGGCTTCCGGGTGGAGAAGCTGGACAAGTTCAAGGAACGCAGAGCCTCCGCCAAGCTGTGAAAAAAAAAGGAAAAAAGAGACAGCCCTCCATATTCCATCCGCTGGACCAATGTTTACGCGCGATGGCAACGGGTGGGGCCTGCAAAACGTGTAATGGCCATCGCGGAGCATCATCCTCAAACATTGGAATGGTGGCGGAAGTCTTCACTCACCGAGGGGGGGGGGCTCGGTGTGCGACAAACACGCCAAAGGGGGCGCGGGCCGGGGCAGGTGAAAACACAACTGGAAAAGCCCACGGGAACCGTTCATCGAGAAACCTCGTGCCCATCTGAGCTGGGACGGAGGGCTGAGAATGCGATCGTCCACGTTGCACAAGACATCTCGGAGCCTAACCAGCCCGCATGCTGTGAGGGATCTTGGTTGAGATAGGTTAGGTAGGTATGCTGCAGTTCGTCGATGGTCCGATATGGTATGGTGGGCGGGTGGGTGGTGGTTGTGCAGTGGTCTTCTCCCTCCGCTGTCTCTACTAAGTGAGAAGGCCGCTTTCGGGTTCCCCCCCCATCGCCACCGAGTGGTCGAGTTTTTCTACGCGCGTCTGCTTGCCGCACGTTGAAGTTGTAAACTACTACTCGTTGCTGTATCCCTCTAGTCACCAATGCGGACGGCGACCAACGCTGGCCAAAAAAACCCTGAGTGCCGAGTAGTTTCAAAGCCGACTGTGATAACTTAAGAAGGGAGTGAGGCATCGGCACGACACACAAGTGCCATCGGGCGATAAAGCCTCCTGCTTCCAGCTCCACCACTTTGCCGCCATCGATCACGCTCTTAAGACACACTACATGACACACGGCATTTGGTGGAACGGAACGGCCGCTTGGGATGGCCAACCGGGGTACACAAGATGCATTGGCACGCGAAATGCCGATGACGGGAGTATGGATCGCAGCTGGGGGCGGCCGACGACGACGCCGACGCCGAGCTAGAGTTGTTCGGACGAGATCCTCCGCTAAGTTGAGGCTTAACCAGGCACCTGTGGCGGCGACCCGAGGGAATGGGCAGTGGGAGAGTAGATGCGCTAGCTAAACATAGCGAAAGACGCCGCTCTCTTGCTGTAAGTAATGGAGTGTGTTTCTTGCGTGCGTGCGTTCGTTTGGATCCGAATTTCCATCCGACATTCTTGATGCGCAAGATCGGAATCGAGGCTTAAGCAGACAAATCGACAATAACCAACGTGCTATGGCAGAGAGAGAGAGAGAGAGAGAGAGACTTGGCTAGATTGAAGTGCCTATCAAGCGTGCCATCACATGCAGCAAACAATGGGATTTTCTCCGTCATTGTCCCGTCAGTATATGTATCCCTGCTGAGGCTCCAAAAAGGCCGATTCCTTGTCCCAAACTTTGTCCGTATTATAGAGGATCTGTAGAGTGAACAGGCCATGCTGGACCACCACCGGACCGTACCCCCCTACAGTAAGATACGTCGCAACGCGACGCGAAAGGCAATCAAGGTACAGTAATTCAAGCACAGTGCGTGTGCTTGTGTGGTGCGGGAATAGAGGAGCTACCGGCTGCGGGCACAGGGATCGTGCTCCGGGTCTAGTGCGTCATAATTTGGTAACTGACCTGCCGACAAAGTCTTTCTCCTCCTGTGATACGTACCCTGTTCTGTCTCCAAGCATGCGACTCAGATCCCATTCGACTCGCGCGTAACGAGCGCAGAAAACCCAACCAAGCACACCACCATCGAGCGGTCGCCGTCCCCGGAGTAGCTCGTGGGCCTATCTGCGAGCTTCCGAAGCGAAGACCTGGAAGACGATGAGAGTTCTCGACAACCGTTGCCTGTGTCGCGGTCGCATACCTACAATGCTAGATGCATCCTGTAAAAATCGCAGCCCGCCGTTAATAAGAGGGGGCCTGAGGCTCACGAGCCGAACGCGCCAATGGATAGTCGTACAGACCAAAGGTCCGTTGGCCAGCTTTTGGAACTTGCCGACCGTGCCGGGCGACAAGCGAGGGCGACACCGTCGATACACAGCACCGTATTCCAAGCTTATTGGGCCATGCAAAAATGTATTCCATTCGCCGACAGTTCAACAGCGCACAGTTACGTCATGTCCAACGACGCCACCAACGCAGCGCAGAAGGACCGGTACTCCTGAGTGCACAGGCCGAAGCCGTAGCCTTGGGCGCAAGTAGGTACTTATTGTGGTTTCGCGAACTCTATCTTCTTAGTTGTCCTCGTCTCAAGCCTAAAACAGACGTGTCCGTGACGTAATGGGGTGTTAGAAGTCGAATCTGTGACCTTCAGTTGACCAAACCAGGACTCGGGTAGAGAACTGTAAGCGCAAGATCCGTATCGGCGAACAATGCTGAACAGCGAGAGAGAGAAAGAGAGAGACAGCGAGAGCTGAAGCAATGCCAGGCGACGGGTCGCTTGCCAAAGGGGCGAGAAGGGTGGGGGGGAAACGGCATCATTCTGGTCTGCGTTTCCGTGTCTGGGTCTCGGAACGGATTCGATATAGACGTAGCCCGACGCGTGCTAGTGCTGTGACGCAATTTGTTAAAAGCAGAAAAAGTCGCCAGTCGGGGGGCGGGGACCAGATGCCGGGCCCTCCCTGACCAATTCGCGGCGCGATGCAGCACCTCATTGGTGGGTAACGACCACAATTTGCCACCCCGATAGTTAGTCGCGTTGAATCCCTTCGTTTTGCCAGTCCACCCACGCTGTCATTGTCGGCCCCAACTGGGTTGGGCAGGTGCAGCTTAGAAATATGGAAGAGCGGCTGCCGTCGAGGCCTGGCTGATCGTCTACAGGATAAAAGCAGGACACGACCAGGTTTCAAAAGTCTTGTCGAATGCGGTCGAGCCCAAGAGGGTTGATGTCCGTACACTACACTAAGGTATCCGTACAGTTGCCATACACTACGGGTGGGATACGATACCGGCTCGCGAATGGGGGAGGGGAAGTTTTCCAGAAAGAGGAATAAAAACGTCGATCATCTCACCGTAACGTTTTGTCGAGGGCCAGATTCCTCAAGACGACCTGACGGCCGCATGGTTAGACACCTAGCGCGGCCACACGGTGCGGATGGTTCGATGGCGCTGACTGGTCTAGAACCTGCGAAAGACAAGGCACTGCGCAGTCGGCTGATGGGTCGAAGAAGTCGTAGCAGTGATGTGACGCGAATGAGATTTACAGAAGCGAGGGGGGGCGAAGCTGGATGTCTGTATGATGGAGCGAGCCATAGGTGAGGCTCGGCGGGCGACTAGTGTGTAATGGTTCGGGTTGTATAGATACTCAATCCACCTCCACATCAAAGAAGGCGAGGAAGAGGAAGGAGAAGAGGAAGAAGTTCAAAAAAAAAAAAAAAAAAAAAAAAGGCAAACCGCCAAAATGAAAGAAAGCCGGCGGCGGGTTGCGATAATATGATTGCGACAGGAAGGAAAGTGATGCAATCAATGCAGGGGTTGGCAGTCTTTGGGGTGTGGGTGGGGGTGGAGTGGGACTGCCGGATCATGGATGGAAAACTCGTAGTCACAGTGTATAGCGCCATGTATAGAAACGGTGTAGAATGGGGTGTGCGAACCGACACCCCCCCCCCCCGGACTTGCATTTTCTCATTCCTTCTTCCTCTGACCGTATGGCCTCTCGCACACTGGTTGGGCCATGGCCGGTGAGTGGTCGACACGCGTACAGTGTGACACTGGGTATCGGTCGATTTGCTCCTGGCAGACCACCCGTCTGGGTTGTGTTTTGTAGGTATCTCTATCTACGGAGTATACAGTATTGAGCGCTAGCTGGACGGCGCTCAATGGGTCGCGCGAGGATGAAGCGAAGCACTGTGCAAGAGGAAGGACCCATCACCTGCCCAGGTCCAAGACGTCCCCAGGGCTCTGGTGACGGTCCAGGCAATGCGACAGTGTGGACAGTCTTGTACATGTTCTTCAGCTGATAAATCAAGATAAGGCGAAGCCGAAAGGCAAACCGGCACAGGATTGGAAAATACGAAGAAAGAAACCCTCCGAGCCAGATGGTGCACGCCATCACGTCGTCGGTAGCCTCTACCGTCCTTTGCTTGAAGCAACAATATGGGACGGAGTTTGATGATTGTGTGTGTGTGGGTGGGTGACCTCCTCCTAACTTGGCCGTTCAACGATATCAGGGCAGGGCAGTGGATGGAACCCAGTCCAGGTTTGAGTGAGATCTGTACCGAAGTTGAAATCAAAGGCTCGGACGGTGATGTCTCACGAAGATGCTGTTGCCGGCAATATCTAATACGTTGTGTTGTCATCGTTCCGTAGGTAGATCAAGTCAGGCCAGGCAGGTAGAGAGGTACGATACGCTTGGGGGGTGTGTGGGGAAGACTAACCCCCATTCGTAAGCCGTTCTTTGGCTATCCGGGTCAGTCACCGTACAGTGCGTACAAATAGACCCACATGCATCCCAGCGTTTCTCGCAGCAGAACGGGGAAGGAGCAGGAAGCAGGAAGCAACAGAAGGCGCAACAGCGCAGGAACAAGCTGTCGAGCGAGACTGGATGGACCAGGACGGGGGGGCGTGGATGGGCATGGGCATGGACGTGGGCGTGGGCGTCCTGGTATCAGGAGTGTGCGCCGCTGCCCACCCTTTTTCTTTTCTCTCGTGCGCCCTCGCCCTTTTTTTTTATTATTAAAATCAACCGCCGCGCAACGTCATACTTGACCTGTGACGTCTGCCGTTTTTTTCCCACCCAACATCCCATCCTCACTTCGATACTTGCTGTCGCTCTGCACCCCCCCCTCGATCTCAAGCACGTCCCCGGGTACGCATCCAGAGAGGCCACAACTACGCAATCACTCTAGGTATTCTGCTGCCGGCCACAGCGAGACAACTTTTATTTTTATTTTATTTTATTTTACTCCTTACCACGTCGTCGATCGTCGAAAGTTACTCCATTCCCGTGCCGCTTCCAACTCAGAGGAGCGCTGCAATACCGTAGCTGCTGCCTCTGACCAACTGACCAAAACCTTCCCTGCCCGTTGCCGTCTGTCGCTGCTTTGCCCGTGTCTCCCACGTTGCGCAGGACCATCGCGCGCTTTTCTCTTCCCTTCTTTGCTCCCACTCGGACTCCCAAGCTCTCCTCTTACTGTTGGCTGCGTCTTGCCCTCTGACCTCATCTGGCTTTGTTTCCCCTAACACCACCATACATCATCCCTACCCTTCTGCCGTCACCTTTTGCCTTCGGCGTCGACCCCACAAACGTCAACAGCCCTCTTTTCCCCTAGTATAATACATCATCGTCGTCATCATGGGCACGCCGCCGAATGATGCCTCGACCAGGGGTGATACCAAATCTCCCAAACAGTCCAACAATGCCACTCCGTCACGCCGAGGTACGTTTGCTCTCTCTCGTTCGCATCGCGATACTTTGCTGTTACCTCGACAAAAATTTCCATTGCCCTCGTCGTGTCGTCGCCGACCATTCGCTCATCACTAAACAGACTCCATCTCCGAAGTGAAGCAACCCGATCCGAGTTTGAAGCCCGATGCTGACGGCGCGAAACCTCTCGGCCCCCCTCCTCGACCTGGACAAACCGTCGCTGGAAACACTCCCGATTACTTTGGCGGCGGAGCCGCTGGATCTCTCAGTCTGGAGCCCAACCCCTTTGAGCAGTCTTTCGGTGGAGGCGCGCCAGAGACACCCGGAGGTACGAAATTGCCATCCGTTGCCGCTCTGACTTCGCCCTCTTCGTTGCTGCCCGGCAGCGGCGCAACTCCGTTTAATTGGGGGGGTAGTTCTCTCCGGACTGGTCCCTTGAGCCCGGCCATGTTGTCGGGTCCGACGAGCGACTACTTCAGTGACACGCATCACTTACGAGGCGGCTTCCCGACCCCGAACGAGTCCTCGCTGAGGACCGGCTTGACACCAGGTGGTAGCGGGTCCATGTTCCCTGCTCCTAGTCCCAACTCCCAACAACTCTTTGCCCAGCTTGCCAGCGGAGGTGCTACACCTAGCACCATTGATTTTCACCGGACTGCTTTGAGTGCTGCTTCGAAACGTGAAAACCAGGTGCAGAATCAAAACCAAAACCAGAGCCAAGGCCAGCAACAGCCACCGGTCACTTCGCAGCCCCAGGATATGCCCAACGGCGCACCTGCTGTAAAGGCCGAAGCTAAGCAATTTGACCCCCACGACAACGACGCGGCAAACGGTCTGTTTATGCTTGCTCAAGGTAGAAACGGCGCTCAAGCTCCCGTATACGCGTCGACAACGCAGTCCCAGTCCAAGTCGCACCCTGCCCCTGCCCCCACTCAGGGCATCGACACGTCTCCTCGGATGAGTGTGAACGGTGCTGGCTCAGTTGGTGCTGGATCCTCAGTGCGAGGTGTCAGCGAGGGCGGGAGTGCCATGTCGGATGAGAGCGAGCAAGCCCGTCCCTCGGCCAGGGGTAAGGGGAAGAGAAACTCCACCGGAGGAGGCTCAGTCAACGGCCGTCGGAAGGCCGAAGAGCCTCCGGCCAAGGGCCCCCCTAGCAAGAAGTCCAAGACCAGTAACGCAGCCCCATCTGATATGAATGGCGACGAAAGCCAGTCAGACGACGACGGCGACATGAAGCATGATAATGAGGAAGGCGGATCCAAGTCTAAGATGACAGACGAAGAGAAGCGCAAGAACTTTTTGGAGCGTAACAGGTTAGCTATGAGATCATTACTGCCACGTGACTGAATCCAGCTAACAACTTTGAACAGAGTTGCTGCACTCAAGTGCCGCCAGCGCAAGAAGCAATGGCTGGCTAACCTCCAGTCAAAGGTCGAGCTATTCAGCAGCGAAAACGACGCTCTGACGGCTCAGATAACACAGCTGAGGGAAGAGGTTGTTAACCTCAAGACATTACTCCTCGCCCACAAGGACTGTCCTGTTACGCAGCAACAGGGCCTCCACGGTGCCTTTATGCAACAGGCGATGGAGCCCTTCAACCCGCAGATGAACCCGTACGGCATGGCCGCTTCCATTCCAAACCAGCAGGTTCTTGCGGCAGGACAGGGCGTGCAGCGGCGCTTTTCATAGAACGATGAAGCGTCGTACGATTACGTCTTCAACCCTGAGAAGACCGAGAGAATCGAGATCTCGTCTTATCCCTGAGCAACCAGCAGCGGCTACCATTTTGTGGCCTGTGCTCAGCCAATGCTGAGACGACGATGTTTACGCCGTTTCTTCCCTGGCTTGGCCCGGCCTCGCGGTTCTACTGTATCATTTTTAACACGACATTCGTGGCCCATTATCGTCACTTCGCTTCTCCCACTTGTTCATGGAGGTTGGTTGAGGTTGGGCTGTATAGTAACGGGAGCAGTCCTTCTCGTTTCGGAGGAAGGAAATCGGCCGGCGTCATTGGCTGGAATTGCCGGTAATGCATTCGCCCTTCATCGCGAGGCGTGGAATGCAAGGCATATACATCAAAAGGAGTTTATGGTTTGGCAGTTCTACTGAATGAAATGCGGGAGGCGTCGAGGGGCGGAAGTCGGAGATACCGCCTGCCGCCAGTTTGGCTGATTTGATTTTTGTTTTGAACGTAGCAACGGTAACAATAGCTGCATGACTGGCAATGCCTCCGAATTCAACGCTTCACATAATAATATCCTCCTTTTTTTCTTCCGCAAAATAGTGATGAGAATCAATGACTTGTGCTACTTCTCTTAGGTTTTGACAGTTGGTGATATTTTCAAGACCACGGATGCGGTTGCATACCGCCGAAACGAGTCTCATAAAATATACGGGTCGAAATTTAGAACGTTGTTTCTGCCCTAGTATCGACCTTTGGAGACTGATGAGATGATTGCGAATTATCATAGAGGCGGTCAGTCGGCTGTGGCCCGGGGTTGTGACTAGCTGTTAGGGGAGTTCCTAAAAGGGATTAGCGCAGCCTCTCGGGTAAATCGTCCCTCATGTAAACAACATCGTCGATAAGCTGCACCTCCATTTTCGCGCCGCCAACTACCCCAGCAGATCAACGCGACACTCACGCCACTTCCCCGCCGACCGAATGCGCAGCGAACTGAAAATTGCCAATAAATTCCCGATTCTCCCTCCGACATTCTGTTCTTTGCGCGCTGATTAACGCGGGTTTCGTGGTTTCGGAGCGCGGTTGACGTTACCACATTTCCCGGCGCCGGCTTTTACGTCTCGACCATATGCACTTTGTGACGCGCCATCCATGACGACCGTCATTCGCACCCGCCACCCGTTGCAAGTCATTAGCATGAGCAACGAGCAGCCTGGATCGAGGAAAAGCAAGCGCCTTGCGGGTAGGCTAAAGGAACGCGAGGGGAAAGCAGAGATCATGCTAACAACACGCGCAGCCACGTCGGTATATGACGAACAAGATGGCGACTTCCATTTCACGCGCGGGTCGAAATCGAAGCGAGTTAAGAGCGCGGAATCCGAGCCGGAGCCAGAGACGGGACCAGAACCTGACCCCGCGCCGATTGTCGCGAAGAAATCAGGAAGGGGCAGGCCCGCGAAGGCACGCGCTTCAGCAGCGGCCAAGGCACCCGAACCGACCCCATCGGTAACGGCACCCAAAGCAGCGACTTCATCGAGGCCCCGGACGCGACGAACCGCGAGTTTGCAGCCGGCAGAGGAAGATGAGCTGGAATTCGTTGCACCAAAGCGTACGACGCGTCGAAGCACGCGCAATTCTACGGGCAAAGCAGATAAGCCGGAGAAGGAAAGACCGCTCAACAGACCACCACCAGTACCGGAGGAAGACCACGATGCGGCAACCGCGACACCAATGGAAGTGGAGAGGCAACGGACGCCTCGCGTCATGGACGAGCCAGTCGAATCCGAGAAAATAACGCTTCCTGTCAGTGACACGCCCGTCATCAATAGAAACAAGGAGATGCGGAAAAAGGGGGGCGGCAACCGGCGGAGCAGCACGGGCATGCGCGGCAGGAGAGCAAGTTCTCTAATCGAGAGCGGACACAACGCGATTCCCCATCGGGAGGTCGAAACTGCGGAATTTTACAAACACATCGAGTCTGAAGGCCTCATGGAACCGAGGCGGATGAAGCAGCTGCTAACCTGGTGCGGCGAACGAGCACTGCTGGAAAAGCCGCCGCATGGTCAAACGGATTCCAACACGATTCTGGGTGGTAGGTTTGCACATGAAGCTGTGATAACCTCCCTCGACCGCTAACTCGGTACAGCTCGCTACATCCAAGAGCAACTACTCAAGGACTTTTCGACGAAATCGGAATTCTCGGACTGGTTCAGTCGAGAAGAGGGACCAAAGAAGCCCGTGATCTACAAGCCGAACCCACGTAACATTGAACACCAACAGAAGATTGAGCAACTAGAACAGAAAGTCAAGAGGTATTGTTGAGCCACATTCGACAACTCACCAGGGATCTATGCTGACGAGACGCAGACTTAAAGAAGAGAAGAAGAAGTGGCTGGCGCTGAAGAGATTGCGTACAGAAGTCTCACCGCTATTTCCAGAAGCAGGTGCCGCGCAAACAGCAATGGCCGATGCATCAGTGCTCGATCCGAACGAGGCAGAAATGCTGAGCTGGCTCACCAACCCGGCGTCTTCGTTTGAGAACGTTCGTGCCAAGACGCTCTCTCGCCTGCGAAATACCCAATCAACGCTGGAGTTCAAGGTGGATCAGCTCGCTGACGGTATACACAAGCTCTTGCAGCGAGTTGATACGGCAGGCCGAGAGGCGGATAAGGTGCTCTCGCTGAGCGCTGCGCGGCTCAAGGAGCGAGAAGTAAGGGAAAAGGCCAATGCTGGCACCAAAGAGATGCCCGTCATGGAGGTGCTGCGCAGCCTAGGTAGGATACTACCAGAGGGCGCGGAGTAAAGAATAATGTTTATACGAGCATCTTCCTCTTCCCGCCTGTAGCGTGCTCAACGCTCTCTTCCTTCGATGGAGATAATGACTGGTATGAAATTGTGTGTGGTTGGAAGGGAAGTTTCCGCTCACGCTGTGCTTCTCCGGGACTCGCAGACTTTCTGGAATGGATCGGGCTGGCAAACAAGCAAATTCTTTGTCTTTATTTTCGCTTGACGGTCATGAAATGGCGCCTGAGGGGTTTCTAGGGAAGATGCAGAAACATGCATCTTGAGGGAGTTTTCAGTTACGCAATACCCACGTTGTCTTTTGCTCGTCGGCAAGGATTCCTATGTATATCTCGGATACTGAATCCGTTACAATCTCGATCCCATTTGGCGAGAACTCAGTCGAAAAAGAACAGCTCATGTTAGCCTACAGTCATCCGACGAGACAACTGAATGCAAAGTGAAGGAAGATGTTCTTCTAGGCGATCTAGTGAAGGGGGGGGGGAGGGGGGGTGGACTTTGGTGGCACAAGGTGTATCTGTGGAGGGGCCAGCGGTAGAATGAGAGACATACTTGTACATACCCTCCAGCTGCCGCTTTGCATTGCACCACCACTTCGGCAAAGCAATTTGTACGCTCAGACTCGAGCCACCCCGAGAAGGACATTCATTACCCAAGGCTTTGGTTATCACTTTGCACGATTCAAGCCAGCCTCGGCGCGCGTTCGTCGAGATCGAACCGTCATACAGTGTCAGCGACGCAAACACGGTACACACCTGCACGGCCCTGGCTCCATTCGACCGTCGACGGAGATCCCAGGGGCCCTGTTTGTCGAAGGCGAACTACACAAGTTATCGATAGTCTTGCCTACCTCGGTAACACTGACCCCCCTTCGCCCTTTCAAATCTTCCAATCACTCATACCACCCATTTCCTGTCTCGCTCTCGCGCTCCCAGGCATCCATACAGCAAACGCCCGTCCCGAACCGAAACAGCACGGCAGAAGAGGAAAGAGGAAACGAAACTAGACGCCCGAAAAAATCGCAACGAAAGATGTCGGCATTGGCCCGCACCCTCCGCCCGGCTCGCCGCCTCCGAGTCGCTCCGCCCACCCAGGCCGTCAATCTTGTTGTCCGGAGGTGCTTCGCCGACAAGCCGCCCGTCCACGCCGAGTCCGCCGTCAACGGCGAGCTGGGCGTCGGCGAGTTCGAGGGCATCAAGTTCCGCGTCGAGCCGCTGCGGCGTGTGGGCGAGGACGAGCGTACTATGCGCGCCCGTCTCCTCTGTAAGTTTCCTTGTCACCCCCCTCCCCCTTTTGTTTTGTTTTATGAAAGTCGTTTGAGCAGACATCCCCGGGAAAGGGGACGACAAAGAAGACAAACAAAACAGATGAGGTAGCTGACCAAGAGTAACCTCATGTCTGGACAGACCAGTCCCGTAAGCGCGGCACCCTCGAGTCCGACCTCCTCATGTCGACCTTCGCCAACGAGCACCTCCCGCACATGACAAAGGCTCAGATGCAGCAGTACGACCTCTTCCTCGACGAGAACGACTGGGACATCTACTACTGGGCCACGCAGGAGGAGGCCCCTTCCAACTCGGCCCCGACGCAGGCGCCCCCGGCCGACACCAAGGGTGCCGAGGACGTCCGCACGCAGCCGCCGCGCGCCGGCGAGTGGGCCAACACCGTCGGCACCTTCAAGGCGCAGTACCGCCCCGTCCCCGCGCGGTGGCAGGGCAGCGAGATCCTTGAGATGCTGAGGGCCCACGTGCGCAGCCGCCGCGCGGACGGTACCGTCGGCGTGCACCGCGACGTCCAGGAGCGCAAGGAGGGCGGGCTCGGATTCATGCCGCCCCTGTTCGACGTTGACAAGGCGGGCAACAAGAACTGAAGAGCCGGACGCCGGCGGCGCGGAGTGAAAGTGTAGAAAAGAAAGAAAAAGAAGTAAAAAAAAAAAAAGAGTCATAACGGCCAATGGGAGGGAATCTATACCATCATATCTATCAGGAAAAATAACCATCACGGTGGGAGAGGGATGCAAGGGAGCGCATGGCAAACGGGCATTTTCGGCTTCTTTGGAGGTCTTTGCATATTCACGGGACGGAGCACGTGTTAGAAGGCGGGAGACGTGAGAACGCAGCCTGGCTTCATCGAGGGCTGACCACCACGTCCCCAGAACCTGGGACGATGGATGGTGCGTAGCAAATCTGTAATTTGACAGCGCAATAAACGGTTGCAAGCATAAGCACCAGCGACGCCTGTGCCAACACAAGGCACGTCAATTCGGAAAAGTGCTCGGTGGAGAGCTTATCCCGAGTCTGTCAGTGACCTGATAGCATACTCTGATTCAAACCGGCGTGCCCATCGTAGACAAGCAGCAACACTTTCTGACGCATATGACCGGCGTTGTGGACGGAAACGGACCAAAACAGCGCAGTATCCCCCTCAGTTCAGGCTCTGCGCCGCACCAAAGTGGACTGATACCCTCTCTGCAGTTCAAGGAGGTTTGTGATGTGATGTGCGTTATCTCATTCATGACTTTTTCAAATGGCAATCGTGGTATGTATGTATACACTGCTGCACACTCGGGAACCCCCCCGAGGTGTTGGTATGCTTTTTCCGAGTTGGCATCGCAGAGAAACTCGCCGCCGCCCATCCGTGCCCAACACAACACAACGTCCCTCGTCTTTCCCATAAATCCTTCGCGGGTTTGGTAGCCGTTGGCCGACTTGCTTGCCACGAAGAACTCTAAATAAGGTGCTTGGACCTGCATTGTTTGCTCTAGTTAGCTTCGGAGGTCCCATGGCAACTTGGGCTGCAGGCCCACATGGCAGGGAGGGGGATCGCAAACCTGAAGTACGCCCGTAGGTACATGATCTGCCAAACCCACAGGCCGACGAGTGTCAACGTCGTGCCGATGCCGAACCACTTGACACGGGTGTTGGTGCTCTCGTTGGTGTCGCGCAGCTTGTGCTCGCGCGCGCGCAGGTAGTCCATTTCGCTGTTAATCTCACTGACAAGCTCATCAATACGCCGCAGCTCCGCCTCCACAGGCTTGAGCTTCTCCGTCGCCTGGATGGCGTTCCAGTCCTTGGCGTCGGCACCAATGTCGATGTCGAGCTCAATGTGGCGGCTCAGGGGAGCCCCGCGTCCAGCTGTGCAAGTTGATGTCAGCTTCTAGCTCTCATGGATCCTTGGGAAAGAGAACAAGGCATTGAGCTGGAGGTCCTGCCATCATGGATATTGCGACCGCCAGGCACATGCAAAGTCAGGTTTAGGGGGGAGACCACGTACAGCCAGACAGGATGTTCTCGAAGCAGACGTCGAAGGCCGCATCAGCGTGGGACGTGAACACAATGCGCTTCTCGCCGCCAGCGAGGTCTCTAGGCTTGCCGTAGTCGTTGCCAACAGCGTCCTTGATCTGGAGTGCAATGCGCGGTTAGCTAACCATACAAATCAAACACGGCTCCTGTTCTCTTCCCCTCTTCCCCTTTGCCCCTCTCTTCCTTGGCCTCTTTCTTTTCCCGGGAAATAAAGAACCTCCCCGAGATTTGATCTTTTTCATTGTATTCCGTTTCCTGAAGTTGGAAAGAATAGGAGACATACGTGCATGTTGACGGTCATACCATCACCCTGGTGACCGTCCACAATGGCCGTAACGACAACGAGGGTGTCCCGGCCGACAAAGTTACGGATGCATCGTTCCTTCCTGCCCTCGTGGGGACTTGTGGCCTGCAGGTCGAACTTGAGCGCCTGAGCGCAGCAGGCGAGGAGGACGAGGCCGCACACGTAATGCAGCAGCGATCTTGTCGGCGCCATCGTTCGTTCGGTTCGTTTCGCAAATCTGTAGTAATTGAACCCGCAAGTGTTTTCGCGAAAATCGATCGAGTCGGGCCAGTCACAGCAGTGAAAGTGAAGGAGCAATGGCGGAAGAGGAGAGGGTGGAGGGGACCGGGCGTGGGTTGGATTGTCGAAAGCTGGTCGTTAAAAGGAGCTCCCTGGGCTAGCGATAGGAGAGCTTCAGTCTCAAGGGACCACCTTTGGGGATTTTTGGAAATCTGTCGCGTTCGAGAGCCTGGACCACTCAAGGACCCCTGTTAGCGGGTACGCCATGATCAGACTAATCAGAACCTGGGAGAGGGACAGCCTTGCTCTTGGCACTCACGTGCTATGGCAGCCTTGCAGCCTTTCGAGGTGTGGCGTCCGGCGCGGCGCGCGCTGCGTCTGTCTGCTTTTCGATGCCCACCCTTTCTCATTGCGAATGCGACGCAACCTTCCACACCTAACGAGGCCAATCATTGAGGAACAATAAGCACTCTTGTTTCCTGCATCGCCAGGCTCGAGCCACATAGTTCCATAGTTCAATCTTTGCTCTCTATAGCGCCATCCGCCACGATGCCCAAGTGTAAGTCTCTCCCCCTCCATAAACTTCAACAAGTTCGAGGCTAACCCGAGGTCCCAGTCTTCTGTACGGCCATTCCCAACTACTCCCCTACCGCTGAATCTCGAAGCTCCGAGTCCGACTAACACGGGTTTCCAGGCGATTATTGCGATGTATATCTGACGCACGACTCCATGAGCGTGCGAAAGGCGCATAACAGCGGTCGAAACCACCTGCGCAATGTCGTCGACTACTATCAACGTACCGTCACCCTCTTCCGTCATCACACCTGCCCGCGCCAGCAAGAAAGCTAACCCCGTCTCACCAATACTAGAAATCGGTCACGAAAAGGCGCAATCCGTCATCGACTCCATCACCTCCTCCTATGCCGCCGAAGGCCAGGCGCACAACAACCCCATGCTGCCGCAGAACCAGCCAGGACACGCCTTTCCGCCGCCTTTCCCCTTCCCCGGAGGTTGGTTGAACCCCCCAACCCCCCACCCTTGCGTGCGCGAGCGCGAATTACTTTCCAATTTTGTCATTACCATGCTAATATCAAGCTTACACAGGTATCCCGCCTCCCTTCCCCGGCATGCCCGCAGGCGCGCCTCCTTTCCCTCAAGGCATGATCCCGCGTAAGCCCCACCAAGTCCCTACGAGAAGCTTTTCTCCGTGGTTGTCGAAAAGTTTGAAACTGACCTGCGCGCCTATAGCCCCCGGACCAGGTGGCCGCGGAATGCCTCCCATGCCCCCCTTTCCCCCGGGCCCCAACGGTTCACCCATGCCTCCCGGCGGCCTGCCCTTCCCTCCGCCAGCCGGTCTCCCGGCCGGCTTGCCCTTCCCGCCTCCTGGCGCACCGGGCGGCTTGCCCCCCAACTTTCAATTCCCCGGTATGCCGCCGCCGGGTGCTGGCGGGTTCCCTCCCGGCCCTCCTGGGGCGTTCCCTCCTGGTGGCGGTCCTCCAGGACGTGACCAGCGGTAAGGTTTTGTGGGTATGGCATCTCCTTGCAGACGGGTGCGCGTGTGTGCGCATGTTGTCGAGTTTGAGTACGGTGTTTAGGCGTCTAATCTGGGAAGGGCAAAAACTCTTGGCATGGCAAAGGTACAAACTCATACCACGAATCACATTCAAAAACGCATTGGGGAGAAGGAACATGAATATACTAAAGCGCCGACGTTCTTAATCATGAACCTGTGCAAAATGGTATCTTCACAAGCAATTTCTATATGGTACAACAATAACAGGCCCCAGTGTTCTCGTAACAAAATCATGCATTCCCTAGGGTCTTGGCCCCAGTGAGGTCATCATTGTCGTTGCAAGGCCTTCAAGTTAACCGCGTCCCGGACTTCGTTCCGGAGTGTGCGAAATTGGTCTTTGGTCGTAAAAGTTCTGTAGTCGTAAATGACATCTGTTCGTAACGGTCGTAATACCTCCCATGTAGCCATTTCCTGCGCCCTTCCGGGCGCCCCAGTCTCGAGTATATTACGCATGATTGTTCCAGATAAATCCTCTGGCTGATAAAATTTTGTACGTGTATCGATCAAAAATGGTGAATCGACAAGTTGGTTTGTTGATGCGAGTCGCGGTACGTGTTTGGTCGAATGACGTCTCCCATACCATCCCTTACTTCGCGCGGCCCGCTTATCTTTTGGCGCAGCTCCTGCGTCCTCTTCTCTCGTTTACGCTCGTTCATTTGTCTCGGCAGGTTTTGTAACCCCTCCAACGTGTCCGAGAGAGAAAAGCGTCTTCGCCTCTTCGGACCGGCTTCCTCATGTTTGTCGCGTTGGGCGGCGGTACTCAGGTAAGGAACGGGGTTAGCTGACTGGTCGCGAAGAGAGTCTAAACTGCTCCGGCGCCTCATGACACGGAGATTGCCGCTGTCCGTCCGGCGTATGGTGCGTCTATCAGGCTCATTCCGCGTCTCTGACGTGTAGAAGTCACCCTCACCGCGGTTGGGAAGGATTGCAAACGTCTTCTTCACCCGCGCGCTGATGCTTCTTCGCGAAGTTGGACGATTGTCGATCGGGGGGTACCGATACACCTGGCTGATGGGCTCGTCCTCCATTTCCCTCTCCCACCTATCGTCATCCTCATCAGCGTAGGCAGGGCGCCAATGCGGGTGGAGTCGATCGTCCTCGGGCGGCGGTGCCTCGCAGTCCGGGCACGAGCAAGGTCCTTCCATAGAAGAGTGACTTTTGGAGCTTGAACCTCTACGCGTGAGAGAAAAGGTCCTGGTCAACAGTCCCCGTCTGCCGCTTCTAGGCGGGTACTTCTCAGAAGTTCTTCTTCGGGTTAGCGCCCTGCGGACGATAGATCCACCTTTCTGCGGCTGCTCATCCGCCATCGTCTCAAAATAGTTGCCCATGTTGCGCTGTCTCTCGTGATTCGGTGTCAAGCCGGAAGGAGTTGCGGGAATGAACTGAATAGCAGGAGGAATAACGGGAGGCACTGGTGGAGCAGCTCGAGGGTTGCGAAGTGGCGAGTCCACGTCGTCCATGGTATGCTGAGGATGCTGTGGCGTCACAGGCCCTTCCTCGTCTGGACCAGTAGTGATTATCGCGGGCCTTGGAGGTGACTGTGGCAGCTCCTTGTCCGTCTGGGACGCGTCGGAGCACTCTGAGGGCTTGTTCGAGTGGTTCACCACGAGTACAGACGAATTTTGATGAGGATACAAGCTCACAGCCTTCGCCTCCGAAACTTCAGGGGCAGTACCACTCGTCGTCACAGAAGCCGCCGAGAAAGGAGTATTCTGCGTAGATAACCGCTTGCCAAAGAAGGGATCTCCGAGATGGTCTACATTGAGCTTGTGGTCCCGATGATGGTGACCGTTGTCAGTCCCGGATGAGGTGGGCCTTTGGAGGGTCAAGGCGGGTGCTCTCGTTTCATGTCCCGAGGGTTGGCCCAACAAAGCGTTTTGAGTCTTGAGGCTGTCCGCGGTAAGTGAACCGGCGCGAGATGTGTTGCGGCTGGTCGGCGCAGACAGTGAAGAAGATCGCTTCGGAATAACAGGTGGATAGTCAATCGTCCGTTGATTAGAGCCATCAGACTCTGACATGGACCGGTTTCTCCGCCCTGGCTGCTCGAATACTGGCGTCGGTAAGTCGTGACCTCTCGGTCCATTGGCACGAGTCGCCGAATTCAAGCTTGCACTTCTTTTGGATCTTCGACTGCTTGTGGATCTCAAGGACGGGGCCGCGCTGGATTTTGATTTGACAGATGAGCGACGGTCCGGAATAATAATGACAGGGATACCACCGCTCTTCCAGATCTCCCTTCGAGCTTTACCACTCGAGATGGAATTAAAAGTCGTGTTCGAGGCGTAGCTATTGTGACGGCTGTCGCTGGGGCGAGCCAGCGGTCTTGGACGCCTCGGAGACCCTCCAAGGTGGACGGCCGAGTTCGCGGCGGAGCTGGAAGGAGATCGATCGGACCCTGCATCCCTCAGAGTGAGCTGCTTTTGCACGTGCCTGAGGGTCTGTCGCCTTTGCGGGATTGAAGGGGCATCAACCAAGATCGCCTCGACAATCGTCGAGGCATTCGATCTTGTGGATTTTGCAGATTTGGTGGATAAGCCCGAGAACCTCCGAGCATCACCGTTGGCCAAGGATCCAGAAGTTGACGTGTTGGGCCAGGCGATCTCACTTGGGGCGTAGAAAGCTGCCCTCTCACGCTGGGACGTCGCGCGCAACGCTTTTGTCGCGTTCGTTGGCGTGACCACACGATCTTCAAAGATTTCAATCTTGCGTCTCCCGGCCCGAGACGCGGTTTTTGGTTCTTGGCGCCTCTTCCTCACTGTGACGGTCCTGCCCAAGTTGTCGTCCCACTCTTGTTCCACTTCATTGGCAGTCCATTCTCCGTCAAAAGCATTAAAGTCGCTTTCCATCTTTGGAGTTATAGCGTCCTCCGAAGGCGACTCCAGGCCTAGCCCCAGCCCCACCGGTGATGGTGATTTCGCCCTGGGCTCATGGACCCGACGAACCGTGTTTTGGGAAGTTCGCGCAGAAAGGATGTTTGGCCTGACAGTCGATTGAATGTCGTCATCTTCAGAAGAACAGGGTTCTTCCCTGGCAGTTCTGAAGGACGCAGTCCGCGATTCGACTGTGGTGGCTTTCGAGACTGTGCGATCGATGGGGATCGGTCGAACAGCCTTGGGGCGAGTCGTAGATTGTGGAGGAGTCACGTCGGGCGTTGGTGGACTTTGCTGGTTTGGAGGAGTGGCAGGTACACGTGCAGGTGTCGTTGGCGTTTGCGACACATTCTCGGCGGACGTTGAACTCGGAGGCTGAATCGAGCGACTGCTCGACGAGGTGCGCGAGTGTGAAGGTGGTGTCGGAGGCAAGTCCGGTCCGCTGCCTATTCGCTTCGGTTGGTGTCTCAGCGTCTGAGGGCTCGGCTGTTGCGGCGCGTCCCTTTGGGACGGTACACAGTCGACAACTAGATCATACTTCCTAGGGGTTGGTCGTACTTGATAGGAGCGCGGTGTGTCGCTCCTTTGTCTGTTGGGATGCGGTAGGACTTTATGCGTTTTGAACATTCTCTGCCCCGCCAGGGCATCGTCGGGCGAGCCCAAGGAGTGGGTTTTTTGTCGAACCGACATGGTGGAAGATGGTTTCCAGGTTGCCGGAACGGTCATTCCAAAGGACATCTGCCGCTGATATGCGTTCTACAAGATTGCAACGCGTGCTAAATGCATAGACAGTGACCCTTCGCAGGCTAGCGAGGATGCGAGAAAACCGGAGTCGTTTGCATGCTGGATAGAGTAAGGTTCATGGACGTGGCCGAGCCCCAGACGAGGAAGGGGAAAGAAATGGAATAAACGTATGCCATCCGATAGCGGGTGGCGTAGAGCAGGTAAAGAGTGAAGGTCGAAAGCCGGAGAGTTATCGGGATGACGTCCTCAAGGTAGGCCTAATACATTGGAACCAGCTGACTTGATTGATGAATCGCGTTGAGGTCCAACGGTGTGCAGTTACAGTTGGCCACAGTCGCAAGAGTGACGACGGCAGCGGGACCGATGAGGCGAGACACGAAGCGCAGAGGCGGTTCAGCCTAGCGGCATGAGGCAATAGGCTCTGTGGACGAAGGAACAGAGACGTGTCGGGTTTGGTTGAGGCAGAGGCTGGGTAGTCTAAATGATCACGATGCAGATAGGGTCCGGGTCTCGGGCGCAGGTGTATGAGGAAGACGAAGACTCGAACGGGGACGCCTGTTCCAAGACGGGGGATGCGATTTGACCAGGGCCAAGTGGCACAGACCGAAGTAGGGAAACGAGACGGGACGTAATGTGAGATTAATGCTGAACTTCGGCCGGCCTTAATGGAAGCAACAGGAGAGAATGACGATCCAGGGCTTTGTGTGGCAGGCGGCGGACGGACGGTGGCGTTTTTTCGGTGCAGGACACGGCCCCAGGAGGTTGAGACGATGGGGACAGACGACGATTCAGGGGGAGAAGGACGAGAAAAGATGATTGGCAGGACCAAGAAGGGTCTGACGCAAGAAAAAAGGAACACACGCCTTGGGTGAAGAGAGAGAGAGGGGAAGGGGGAGAGAGACAATGGCAGAGCAAAGCAGAGAGAAATAGAGCGGCAGGTGCATAGGTTCGAGGTCAGTTACAGTAGCTAGGTACCCAAGGAAGGTACTTAGGTAGGTTGGTAGGTATCCGTAGGCAGGTAGATGTTCGTAAAGAGTATGGAATATGGAGCCAAAGCTGGCTGGCGATAGGCGAGAGAAGAAGAAAGAATGGGGGGCGCGCCCGGTAGATTGGTTACATGGCCCTGCCTGTCAGTCAAGCTGTGATGGGATACGACAGGGTGAGGTCAGGGAGACACTCCAAGGTACCTCCCTGTAGAACTACAGAAGGCACGTCAGGCCTTTGGATTAGAGACGGATCCATCCAACCAGTTCGTTTCGTGGCGGGCACAAGCGAAGAAAGGCTGGTCTGGTCTGGTCATTATGGGGAGGAAGGAGTCTGGGGGTGTTTTCAGGAATCGTATGGACGGTGGGTTCGGGGCTTCCCAAGGGCCAAGGCCGGGCCAAGGAAGGGAGACGAGCTGGACCAATACCGAGGGAGGAGGAGAAACAAGAAGGGAAAGAGAGAAAAGAAAGAAAAAGAAAAAACGGCACAAAAATCGAGTGGCTGGAAAGAACAAACTTCCCTCAGGCACACACACACAGAGAGACTGACCAGTATTTTGTACTGCGTTGGATTCCTATTCTCCCAAACCTTACTTGGTGTTGGTTCCCTTCACTTAGTCGTCTTTCTAAAAGGTTTCATTCAAGCCAAGGGGAAAAAACTTGCTTCCACTTTGTAATTTTGAAGTAAATGAATAAACATATACACAAATTGTGTTTGGACTCTTTCCTTCTCTTCTTGCAGGTGCATTTGTCCCGTGATACCCTCCCTACCTGTGCACCAACTCTGCAGGGAAGGTGTGTGTAGCCAGCAGCAGTAGCTCCGCCAGGGGGGCTCAAATAAGGAACATACCCACCACCAGAGTGTCCTCTATCGGCTCTGGAGCGCCCTACACTGACCGATGGCGGCCAGCCAAAGTGGGGCTGTCTCTTTTCCACCTCGCAGTGGCCCAGACTATGACCAGCTCCCATAGGCTGTACCTCTTTTTTAGTGGTTGCATCGTGCTGCATCTTGCTGCATCGTGCTGCAGCGTGTTCCTTCTTCTGCAAAGCCATGCCAACTTTTGTCGCCTTTTTTTTTTTTTTTTCTCTCATCCCCCTCTCCCCTCCTCTCCTCTCCTCTCCCATCGTGCCCTTTCCCACCTCCCCCCCTCCTTCTCTTTTGGCATCTCCCTTCCCCGACTGGTTTGGACGACGTATGGCACCATCGTATAGTGCGTCTCCTCCCCACCGTCCTCTTCTTCCCCTCTTCGACTAACCGCCCTGCCACACACACCTCACAAGCCATGTCGTCTGGCAGCAGCATCTGGGATTACATCACCAGTTACCGACTGACATTTGCCTATCTGACTCTATACCATCGCCGTGAATGTTCGGGTGGCACTGAACCTCCGTATTGGAAGCGAAGGTATTGCGGTGACTTCCGTGACACCGACTCGGTGTACTCGTCCCACCTCACCCCCCCGATCGCGGTCACAGCCATCGCGCTCTGGGTTATGTTGATGTCCGTGATTGCACCGCGAGCCTCTGGCAACCCAGCGGCTCGTACCTACATATCCCGACGGTGCAACTGCAGAGTGCACAGAGGCCGCCTCTCTCCAAGACAAATCAAAGCCACGGGACGGCTCATAGCATCCGGCGCTTCTTTCTCAGACCTGCATGGACTCCAACAAGCCTCGGGGCAAATCAATGGTCTTCCACGGCTCGCTGCATTACGCCACATGCATATTTGGAAACAGAAGCCACTTCGGTAGCTGCAGGAAGACGAGGAGAAAAACGCGACTGTGATGCGCCGCGGGCCACCGGCAAACGCCATCGACTCCCGCCAAGTATCGACAAGTCTTTCGCTGGCAAGGATTCTGACAACTCGGCTCGGGAGTCAATGCTCGCCTATAGCCAAGAGGATTCCCCCCCCCCCCCCAGAAAACAGCCCTCTTCCGACGCCTCAAGTCTCAAGTCATGCGTCCTCCCGCCTTTGCAACGTGAAGTCTCCAACGTTCCTGTGGCTCAGTCGGCCGGGATGGCAACTATCTGCCGGAAGCGTCCGCCGGGCTGCCGATATCATGGTAGCGGGGCACTTCCGGGCCCCGGCGTGTAAGCCACTATGTGCTTGGCCCACTCGGTCCGTCGCTGGTGGCATCGGCGACCTCGAAGTGTTTGGCCAATGGAATCGGATCAGTTGTCATGCCGTTCCGCTGACCGATGTGTGCTGATGTGTAGCGGTATGAAACGAGTGAGTAACCCAAGTTCAAAGTTATATAACCGGGCGGGGAAACGCGAGAACATGAATTATACGCGTCGCCACTGAGATGCTGGCCAGTAACCGACGCCAGTTGTGTAGGGAGATGGATCTTTACCCGTCTGGCCAAAAGCGGTGACTATGGCACGAAGCCGAGCCCCGAGGAAACAAACATCTTATCTATCCTCCGGACCCCGGACTCACAGCATCATCATCTTTATCGTGCTCGCTCTACTCCGTACTACGTAGGCAATCACCCTGCAGAACGCGCATGACGGACTGCAAGCGCAGCAAAGTAGTCGTTACTGCTTGTTTGCCTATTCGGGTAAGCGTCTAGCACAGCTTGCATATGCTAGCGTGTCGTAGCTTTTATCTTATCTGCCCCGCGTGGGAGTTGCCCCACGTCATCCATGGAAACTCCTATCCAAGGAGCCTGTAAACACATCTTCATGGAAGAAGACTCTGGGGAGAGACGGACGATTGCGATTTGAATGATTCATGAACCAATCCAAGGTCTTCCCATTGCCCATGGCAATGATGCCTTGTACCAGTTCGACGGGCGCTTCCCCGCCGGGACCAAGATTGTGCTGTAACAGCCCCGGAGTTCCTCAACCCCTACCCAGCCGACGGCCCTGCAAAAGATGCATCTCGGAAACCCATTTTGGCTTATCTAGCTCAGGGTTTGCATCGTAAAACGGTGTGTAGCACTGACGAATCCTTAACCCACCCCTATATTAGGTATTGCTCGTGACGGCGCCGCGCCGAGACCGTTCAAAGACTCTTGGTTTGCCTTCCTCACGTGAATGTTACCCCGCCGTCGATTCAGGTGGTTGGCAGGACCCTGTCTCGACATGTGCCGAACGTTTGATGTTGGGGGATTTCATCTGGAGTGCAGAGCTGACTAGACCAATCGAATCTTGAGCCTAATATCTGCGCCGATCCTGCTCATGGCACTGGAGAAGGAGAGGGAGCTTTATCTCTGCCCCGCACTGCCAACAACTGCCACGGCCCTGGTCTTTACCTAACACCAACACGTTAAGGGTATGTTCGATACTGCATCTAATGGTACCCATTGATCAGCCTGGACCCAGGGGGTTCCCGTCGGTGTGTTGAAAACGAACGTGGATAAGCTTCTGGGCCGGTCTCGGACCATACCTGATGCTGTAACCGATCATCATGCGTGGAGAGCTGTCGAACCAAACAGCCAATCTGCTTCTGGGGGAACTTTGCACCATGTAGCAGGCCGGAATTCATAAAAGCATGGCGTTTCCCTTCCACGGTTTTGCTGGGTCCTACTGATTGTCGGCTTCATCTTGAATTCACTTCACCACCAAGCCTCAGCACAATGTTCTCTCGAAGCATCCTCGCCCTTTGCCTTGCAGCAACCGTCCATGGTCACGGTGACCATGGCGATGCCCAGAAGTCAATGGCTGGGCCTCACCAGTCTCTCTGGTATAACAATCTTCCTGGTGACGGCGGCACTCAGGCATGTCTTCCAATTGATTAGCCCAGTGCCTGTCTCTAACCCGTAGCCAGGCCGACTCCGTGTTCTCCGGCATCTCGACCTTTGGCCGCCTGCCTTACCAGCCGTGCCTGGGCGCAAAGGATGTCAGATACGATATTGCCTTTATCGGTAGGAAAGGCGACGACACCAGACTATGGGCACTACTGACAAGACCCAGGTGCACCCTTTGACACGGGCACTTCGTACCGTCCCGGTGCTCGCTTTGGCCCTTCGGGAATCCGTCAGGGCTCCCGGCGCTTGAACCTCTAGTACGCTTGCATTCAGAAAGGCTCATTTCATGTAGAAGAGACACTTACAAGCTCGCAGCGGAGGTTACAACGTGCCCTTGGACACGAACCCCTTCAACAGCTGGGCTACTGTCCTGGACTGTGGAGATATCCCGGTTACATCGTAAGGGCCGAATGTCCCGCAACTCCTGTCCGCCTGTGCTGATGAGCCACCAGATATGACAACACATGGGCCCTGCACCAGATCGAGGAGGGCCACTTCAACATCCTGTCCCGCCAGCCGGCGACCGATGCGGCCAAGAAGGGGCCTGCGAAGAACGAGCGGACACTGCCTCGTGTGATTACTTTGGGCGGTGACCACACCATCACCCTACCGCTGCTGCGCTCCATCAACCGCGCGTACGGCCCCGTCTCGGTCATCCACTTTGACAGCCATCTCGACACATGTAAGTCATCGACGGTCACCCGCGCGCCGTTCCGGCACTGACTACAGACAGGGCGTCCCAAGGTCTTTGGCGGCTCTCCATCCGAGGTCGCCAGCATCAACCACGGCACGTACTTCTACCACGCCTCGCAGGAGGGCCTGCTGCGCAATGACTCCAACATCCACGCCGGCATCCGTACCACCCTCAGCGGGCCCAGCGACTACGAGAACGACGGCTACTGCGGCTTCGAGATTGTCGAGGCCCGCGAGATTGACACAATCGGCACCGATGGCATCATCAAGCGCATCATCGAGCGCGTCGGTACCAAGAACCCGGTCTACCTGTCCCTGGACATCGACACCCTTGACCCCGCGTGTAGGACGACGTTGCTGAAAGCTGATAGAGGGGCTGTGTATGGCTAACGATTGCTGATAGTCGCCCCGGCTACCGGAACCCCCGAGACCGGCGGGTGGTCGACGCGTGAGCTCCGCACCATCCTGCGCGGTTTGGAGAGCTTGAACCTGATTGCTGCCGACATTGTCGAGGTTGCTGTAAGTGTTATTGTCCATTGCTGTTTAGTGATCGGCAGGCAGCTAACTGGTGCGAACCAACAGCCCGCCTACGACACCAACGCTGAGCACACCACCATGGCTGCCGCCGACGCGTTGTACGAGATCATGAGCATCATGGTCAAGCGCGGCCCCCTCAGCGCCATGGTCAACCAGACGGAGGTCTACGAGGAGCTGTAAACAAGAGGACGTGGAGATACCATGGAAACGGGGTCTCGAATGGCGCAGCGATATTGGCACCAGTGTCTCATGCAAGCAGACGGGTGGGGGGGGGGGGGGGGTGGGTTGGTTCTTGACGGTATAGGCGTTGTCGGCGGTTGGAGTTGCGAGCGGAAAACTTGGGTGATTGGTGTTGTTGTTGTGCCATTGGTGTCGGTGTAAATCGCAGAGTTTCACAGGTACTAAATGCATACTTGAATCACGATACTCGCCGTGCCAAGTCGCGCCCAGAGTGTTGAAAGGCCACTTCGGGTTACTGCTTGTTCAAACCTCGACGTCGTTGGCGAGAGTCAAGCGTGATACCAAGGGTGATGTGCGTTTTGACGACTACTACGCATGTGGAGGAACAGCGGCGAGAAGCAATGACGTCACTCGAGACAGCGTGTGTTGCAAACTACATCGTACATAGCCCTTTCATATCAGCTGAGGAACAAAGTCGGTTCGCGATGTCCCTCGCCTGATTTGGCGTGTTCTCCGGCTACAAGACAGCCGGCCAGTGGGTGGAATGCCCGGCAAGCGCGGGATCGCGTCACAAGTTGTGGGTTTTACCTGGACCCCAAAGGCGGCGGGACCATCTCGCCAGGGGGGGCAGAGCTCGGGAGCGGCGGGGGGAGGGGGAGGGGGCGCACGCGGCCTCTGCTGGGAATGCGCGACAGGGGCTTTAAGTGTTTTCTATTTTGGTTGCAGGGGGGATCCAGGGCTGGTAACGTTCCGGCGGACGACAACTGTCCCAACTACCTAAGCAAACAATCTTTATTCCGCCTTTTCCCTCTCATGTTCTCTCTTGCCACATCCGAACTTTGCCAGATGCGGTGGCCCCTTTTGAACGACCAGGACCGGTTTCTATCAACTCTAGGTGCTTAGAGACACCAGGCAAGGCGAAGAGACACGAGAGGAGGACGCCCCATTGTCGCCGACAGGGCGGTGCCAGCATAACATTGCGCGTCAGTATTTCGACGTTTGCCCAAGGGAAGCCTGGCGGACTTTTCTGATTCGGCGAACGGGTTCATACATGTCAGAGGCTCGGCAACGGGAGACCAACGCGCCCGAGACTCTTCCGCCCAGTCGTGTGATACACCACGCATGCTGGTTCTCTGGACGTCCTCCATTTTCCCTCTGGCGACCGGGCTTGGAGGCATGCGGACTTAAACGGCAGCCGAATGCCACGCGGCAAATGGGCAATCGTGACGGAGGCCAGAGCTTGCGACGACGAATGGTGGCTTGACGGACGCACGTTGTCTTCCTACGTCTCTCTTCCTGGGTTTGTTTGTCTTTCCCGTTCGCGCCGCCACTTGCCGTTCTCGGCAGTACCGGCAGGCGCGGGCACACGCTCTTCAACCCCCGGCCACTTTCGGGTTCGCGTTGTCTGTCAACTGTCTCACTTTATTATTTATTTTCATTTTTCGTCTTCACCTGCGCCGTCTCGTGCCAGTCACCTGTGGGGAGGAAGAGGAAAAAGAAACAGAAAGGGAAGTGCTGGAGGGAAGTGAGTCGCGAGTGCCAGTCACCAGGACTGCAGAGATGCCTCCGATTCGAGCAAACCTTGAGCGAAAGGCCAGGAGAGGGTAGGGTGGCTTCAGCAGACTGAATTTGCTCTGCACAACGGACCGGATCGCCATATGCTCCCACGAGGAATGCATCTCGGTTGGGGGTTGGAAGGCCCCCCTCTCGTAATGTCAGCGATACGATGTCCGTCAATGTCTCTACCGATACGCTGATGACAGCGTAACGATGCGATGGGTTTCCCAGCCTGCCATCCCGCATTCTTTCACCCCTCTGCTGTAACTCCCCTAGGCTCCTTTCGTTATGACAACCACCACCAGTTCGTCTGCTCATCCACACATCCGCGTGGCACGCGCGACCATTTCTAATTGCGCGTACCTGTATCGCGCAGCTAAAACAACCCCAAGAAAGGGCCGCACTGCCCGCCATCGGACAGACCTCTCATCTCGGGGCGCCATAAGCGAGGTGCAACCCAGTTGAACCGTGATACGTAAACCGGCTTCGGAATAGAGGCAATCTACCTACTCCGTCTCCCGACCAGGAACGTTTCTCAGGGCGTCGGGGTACACCCAATTCGTTCATCGGCAGACCCGCTAACGAGCGCCGCCACCAGCTTCAGCCCAGCCCGGCTTCGCCATTACGGTTGACGTTGTCTCAATGCGCCGGGCTTCTCGTCGCTTTCCGAGTCCAGCATATCGTAGTGTAGAACCGACTGCTAGACTAAAATGCTCGGCTGCTTGCTTCCGGTAGATTCCAAACCTGTCCCCAGCCTCTCTGGTCTCAACCTTTCCTCTTCGTGCCTGGAGATGGCTTCGACGCAACCTTCGCCGCAACGGCCTGCGCATCACCCACAACCTATATATGGATGATGTTGCTTTCCCCATAGTACTTCTCAGCATCTTATTCTCTCGCCCCTTATCACTGCTTGCATCCCATATACAGCACGAGTATCACCACTTGTTTAAGCTCACACATATAACACCCGTCCCCTGGCGTCACCATCGCCAGCCCTATCACCTGTGTCGTTGCCTGCACCACAACGCTTCACCACCAAGCCGACAAAGATGAAGACCTCGGCAACCCTCGTCCTCGCCGCCTCTGCGTTGTCCTCGGCCCAAGTCGTTTAGTGCGCAGCTCCCCTCCTCCCCCCGCTGTTGAACGAACCCTCACTAACACCGCGCCTTCCCACCCCCAGCAACTCAACGACGGGCCAGTACGTCTGCTCACGCCCCAACTCGGCCTTCTGCGCCGGCGACTCCCTCGGCACGGACATCATCATCCGCTGCGACGCCAACGGTTTCGGCCAGCCCGGCCGCTGTACCAACAACCTCGCCGGCCAGTTCCCTCTTGGCGTCCAGCCCGCCCTATGCTGGCAGTCCCAGCCCCAGGCCGGCGACGCCGCCTGCGAGAAGAACTGCATCGTCTACGCCAGTCAGCCCTTCCGGCTGCCCTCCAGCGTCTGCACCCCCTACGCGACCGCCTCCGGCACCGGCGCGGGGCCGACTATCACGTTCTCCGTCGGGCCTTCCCGTCCGGTCGTGACCAATGGCACGACCCGTAGGACAATCGCGATCCCAAGCTCCGTGAGGCTCCTGTCATCTGCGCCGCAGCCGACGGGAACCGGCGGCGTGCCCAGCTCCTCCGGCAACGGCACTGCCCTGTCTACCAACCGCGGCGGCGGTAGCTCCGGCAGCCTGTCCGCAACCCGCACCCCCATCCCGCCCTCCAGCTCTGTTCGCCCCGTCACCGTGTCTACCGGCGGCGCTGTGGAGAATACCGCCGGGTATCTGGCTGTTGCCGGTCTCGTGGCCGCCTACTTCATCTAGACGCCCCCCTCCTGCCCCTGTTTTTTTTTATTTTTCATTTTTTTATTCTATTTCTTTTTTACTCTCCTGATTCGTCTCCAATGCGACGCATCTTTGGCATCCTTTCATCTGCATGCCACAGGAGAACCTCCATTTCACGGCTCGGAGCTTTAATCCTAATCGACAATCGCATCGGTGATGGGCATGCAGAAGCTGTTCGAGGCACGCCCGGGCGCAAGGAGTTTGTTTTTTTACAGGGTTTTCTCGCCTGGGACTGCATTGGGTAGGGGAATCTGCGGGACAAGGGCATGCCTGATCTGAGCTGGATGTCAAGGGAGGGAGATGCGAATCATCATTTTGCAGTTGTAACAAAAGCAAGTGTGTAGTTTGTGACATAAGCATTACATAGAATAAACACTGGTTAATCGTTTGAATCTCGTCATCTTTTCAAGCTGATGGATTCTAGACATCAACCAGCCTTTAGCTGGCCGTCGGGTTAAGCGTGTTCCAGGCCTTGCTCCTAGGACGTCTGCTTCTCCATGCTCAAGATCATGCATCTATCAGAACCAACTGAACACGCAGGCCTTGTGTCCAACACCTTCTTTCATATGTCCTGGTTCTGTTCCTCAGTCTATTTCCCTAATGCTTCCGAAGTCTAGCCATGAACGCCGCCCAATGCATAATGATGAAATTCAACGCAACGCAAACATGAATGAAACGATCAATAGGGCCAGAGAGGCCGCGGCCTTAGATCCTGCGTTTGGAAAATGCTTCTGGATCTCGCCCGTCTGACTGGATGAAATGCTAGTGCAGCTCGCGATACCGCATTCGTACCCGCTCGGACAACAGCCGGGGACGGGGCCGCCCTCCTCGCCACACAGAAACCAGCCGCCGGCGCAGGTCTCCGTCGCATGCGGCTCCGGAACGTCGGTGGCTGGTAGGACAACAGTAACGCCATTGCTGATGATGGTAACCGAGGGAGTAGGCGGGCACGAGGTAGTGGCGCAGTCGCGGCCAGTCTGACAGCAACCTCCGCCGGCGCGGGCGAGGCAGGCGTAGAAGCCAGTCGGACAGTAAGCCGATGTCACGGGCGGGCCGCCACCCTCGCCTGGGTCGATCGACGTTGGTCGGAAAGGGGGCACAGCGTCGGAGGCACCCGAAGTCGTCGGAAGGCCAGGAATCGTCGTCGGGTTTTCGATGGTGGTGGGGGTGGTGCCGGGGTTGACTGTGATGATGATCGTGACGTGAACAGTGGTGGTTCTGCCGTCTGCGAGCGTCGTCGTAGAGACTGTGGTGGTGGTGACGGTCTCCCGGACTGTCGTGCCGCCTGATCCACCACCACCACCGCCGCCTGATCCACCACCACCACCGCCGCCTGATCCACCACCACCGCCGCTGCCTGATCCACCACCACCACCGCCGCCGCCGCCGCCGCCTCCGCTTCCACCTCCACCACCTCCATTTGAGGCCGTTTGAGTGGGCCAAGTGCTCGGCGCTGGGGGAGGGCTGGGCACACCTAGGACAGTCAGCTCATGATCATGCTAGCATCCAAATATCATTGTGTAAACTTACAGCCGACACCTTGACAGACGTAACCCGGGATGCAACATCCACCGCTGAGCTTAGCATCGCAGCTAGTTGTGCCGCTGGGGCATACGCCCACCGCTCCGCCACAGGAAGCACCGCTCGGACAACAGGCGACGTTCCCAACTCGTTCATCCTGGACCTTCACACACACTTCATTGCTCATGCAGCACTTATTCGGCGAGCCGATATCCTCGCAGCTGTTCATACTTGTAGGGCATGACTGTCTGGTTTCGAGAATATGAAGAACCTCGGCGGCACGTCGTAGCTGCCCCCAACCATGGTTGGCACTGTCAAAGTGTTCAGCGAAGGGCGGGCGGTAAGGGAGCGATGCGTTGTAGAAGAGCGGGTCGTCGGCCATGCGAGCGGCGACAAGTTCTTCGCGGGGTGAGAGCGGGGTGATGAAGACATTGTCAGAAAAGGATAGGTCGTCGGGTAGGAGCTTCTCGCCGGCATTTGGTGGCATTTTGCGGATGGCTGCCGGGTGCTCTGCATTGACGTGGGCTGCTATAAGAAGCAGGAGCGAAGAGGGGAGGCCGACAAGTGAAAAGGAACGCATTGTGCCGGAATTGAGGCAGATCCCTCGTCTCGCTCCGAAATTCAAACGTCTTGCTCCCAGTGCTGATGTTGTGGTTCAACCAGGTTGAATGGTGAGCCAGCCCAAGTTTTGTGCAAGGAGCTCAGTCGCGTCTTGTCGGTTGAGCTCACTGCGACTGCGGCGACCGTAGAACGGCAGCTTTTGACGTGTGTGCCGAATCTGCACGATGAAGAGGTGCTTGTTGCTCAGATTGATGTAGGATTCCACGACAATGACTGGGCCAGAAATTAGTGAGGCGTTGAGAGTGGTCGAGTTTTGAGGCGCGGAAATCGGTGGCTGGGCGAGAGAATGAGAATCAGAGAGGGCCGAGAAAAAGAGAGAGAAGGACACCGCAGATTCCCACTTGCAAGGTGATGGAGCTGGGTGCGCTCGAGGCTGGCAGCTGCGACACCTCACCGCCCCGAGTCTGCTTCTCTCGTATCCGACCGTTGTCACTGAGTTGTCTGTGACCCGCAGCGAGACACGTTGAACTCGGGATCCGGTCACGAACAATGCGTTTGTGTCCGTTTGCTAGGTACCTAGTATGCGTGCTTGTTTCCCTGGGATTTCCGGATCGCGCGCTTGCTGACTTCTTCGAACAACGGCTGACTGACCAACCACCTACCACACAGTTCCGCCGGTCTGGCTGGGTACGTACCAACTAAGTACCTGCCTAGGTAGGTACCGTATCCTCTCAGTAGATTCGTACACCGCACTGACCAGGGGCTGCTGGATAGGGGCTAGCGGGCTGACAGAAACAGGGATCTAGAAGTGGCAAATGCAGGGGTTAGTCAACGTCAGCAGCAAGTTTGGTGGCAAGGGTTAGGGTTAGATGGGTGGGTGGGTGGCTAGGCTGACTGACCGCCTTCCGAAATCGACCTGGTGAGTGGTCTGTGCGCTGTACGAATCTGCTGAGAGGATACGGTAGGTACATAGGGATACTTTAGGGATCTGAAGCTTGTTGACAGTTGCTAAAAAAGACCTGGGCCGGCGACCATCTGAGAAGCCCACGGGAGAAACACAGACCTGGGCGCTGTCAGGGGTTCGGCTGGAAACTTTTGCAGGGGTCAACGGGTAGCCTTTTTTCGGGGCAGCGCCACCTGGGCAACCAATCTACGCCTGATGGGTCGCTTTAGCCGATCTCATGCGTTGCGGAAGCTCGAACATGGCACAGGCCCCCTTTCACGAGCTTGTGCATCTCTCGAGTGCCTGGCGTTTCTCTCGCTGGCAGTGTTTACGCAGAAGATGATTTACGCTTTGCGCACTCAGATTACCAGGATAACACTCTATAATCTAGAAGATCGTTTACAGGTAGTCGTACAAATATGGTACAAGTTGTTACGTACCCCCTTATCAAAACAGACTCTCTCCGCCATCTGCCTTGCGAGCATCCTTCCGTAGCTTCTCAGTGAGTGTCAGGGGCTGCTGAACTCCTCTCAGGAACGAGTTGCAGAGCAGCGCGGTAGCCACGCTGACATTCAGGCTATCTACTGAACTCGACATGACCATGCGTGGGATCGTGATCTCACGAGATGCCTTCTTTCTGATATCGTAAGGTAGACCACTGCCTTCGTTTCCAAGGATCAGGATGGTCGGTTCTTTGGTGAGAGGCCTGGCTTCTTCAATGCCTTCAGGGGTCCATTGGCGATTGTCGTTGCGCAGACCAGCTGTTGGTGCGACGGCTGCATACGAAACCCACCCGGCCTGTTGAGAAGCGTCCAGGAATGCGACGGGGTCCTCAACCGAGAAAAGTCTCAGTTCCTCGGCAGCTCCCGCTGCCGCCTTCAACACCGTAGGGGTGATGGCCGACGATGTCCTCTGTGTGACAGCCACTGCCGAAACACCAAGGAATCGGGCGGTTCGAAGAATAGCGCCCAGGTTACCGGGATCCAAGATCTCGTTCAAAAGGAGCACAAGCGGTTTGGGGGATCCAGGCCGGCAAGGGATGAAGCCCTCGGTGCCATTGATCTCGGTTTCCTCTTTGGACTGACGAGCCACATGGACGGGGTAGCCCCTCAACTCACTCGACTCTGCGCCGAGCCCCGCCAAAGGCAGCTGTGGTAGAGGCGACGCCTCAATGACCAAGCCATTATGCGGCCGACCTTTGCTCATCTTGTCGAGCAGCTTCTGGTCCTTTTCATAGATGCGAGTGACCTTGATGTTTTTCTTCTCTGCCAAGGCCAGAATCCAGTCATCGTCTTTGGTGGTGTTCTTATTGCTGCCCTGGTAGACATAGAGACGGTAGAGCTTGCGTTTCGAATTCTTCAGTGCCGCTTTCACCACGGAACGACCAAAGAGAAATTGCGACGCAGCAGTGGTATACTGGACCGAAACCGGAAAGTCCGATGACCTCTTCGCATGATAATCCTCGTCTTCAGACCTCCGTGAGTCATACCGCCGCCGAGGGGCTTCTCCATCCTCAACTTCTCTGCGCGCCGCATCCCTCATGGATCTCATCCTGTACTGTGTGGACCCGGGCCTCCGTGTCGAACGATCGTGTTGACGGTCTTGGTAGCGATCCTGAAGATGGCCAGGTTGGCGGTCATGCGGACGATCATTCCGACGATCAGACTGAAAAGATGACCTCGGCGGATCCTCATCAGGTGTTTCCTTCTTCTCCAATAGCTTCGACACCTTATCCTTCAACTCGCCTCGATTGAGCTGGTACACCAGACTCTTCTTTCCGAAGGAAAACTCGGGGTCGTTGAACCGTTTGCTCCGCGATTTCCTGCCTCCTTCTTCCTCCATTTCCTGCATCTTCTGGAAGGCCTTCTTCGGCTTGAAGTGCTGGCGCGGCTCGCGATCCCGGGGGCCGTCTCGGTGGCCGCCAATGGCGCCTGAAAATCGGCCGCTAAAAGCATCTGGCTTGTATTCGGCTGTATCTCCGGGTCTGCTTCGGCCTCGAGAACCTGTCAGACGCGACCGAGAGTCAGGCCTTCTCGTACGATCGTTGCGAGGCCCCTTATCAGAACGCCATATTCCGCGGTGAATCGCAGAGAGCGAGGTATTGCGCGCGTGACTCGAGAGCAGTAGGCTTCGGGCGAGGAGAGTTGCTCTTTGCGGTGTTTTTAATGGGCCGAAAGTGCTCCATCTGGAAAGAAGACTCATTGCATTGCGTAAATGGGATGGGCCCAGTTGTCGATGTTGTTGTTCGGCTACAACAAAGAGAAACGTTCAAGGCGTTTCCAAGTCCTTGCCTGCCGACTTTTTTTTTTCTGCCACTTTCCTCCTAAGCAGGGTCTGGGCGGCAAATCTCTATTGCAGCAGCCACTGGTCTTTGATTGGGCAGAATGGCGGGGTGGACAGCTCTTTCTCGACACAGTGGATCCTTCCTTGAGTGGATACGTACATGCTCAGTACTTTCTTTCCTCTAGGGGACTGAATGTGCGCGCTCGGAGCAACGCGGTTTCGATCAACTAGTCGCGTCAGACTTCATAGTCTACCTGAACCACCTACCTACCACCACCCGCCATGACCACGAGTAACCCGTGATTTGCGAAATTCCACCTACGACAGCCGGCTTAGTTGCTTTGGATTCGGATTTTCTACTCGTTTCTTTCATTTCCCCCCCCTTAGTTGCGTCACGGCCAAGCAACTCTCACCCACCCCTCATACCGCCTGACTGTTCAATGCGATAACGTCGCAACCTGTCGCATCATGGAAGACCTTCCGCCCGGCGACGGTGACGCGATTTTTCAGTCGCCGACGGGCTCTCCAAGCGAAGTACTTTTTGGAATCGACAAGTCTAACCGCATTACCTCCAAGGAACCCGACGAGACCGATATCGGCGACAACGTTTCTCACGAAAACACCACCGATATTACAGTAGACAAAGGGTTGTCTAGCGAAACTACGGCTGACAGTACTGTCGCTGATGAGACTATGGCGGATGAAGACATGCAGATTTCGAAGGAATCGGATATCGACAGCTACAAGCACATCCCCTCCGCTGAAGTCGGCGAGGCATGTTCGGTCCTAGAAGCCGCGCTGGCGACTAGATTGCCAGATACCCTCGAGACAGAAGATATCGAACTGCAGAGATCCAATTGGCCTACTTGTGAATTCGAAATTCTTCTGCCCTACTTGTCTCCAGAAGAACGCGCGCAGTATGTCTCAATCACGAGCGACGTCGTAGATGAGGTCGTCGAGAAGGTCGCAGGCCCTAAAGGCGAAGTGTGGTACAAGGCGGAGTTCACAGATGGTCGGCAGGATATCGTAAGTGTTTTCTATTTCCTGAATATCAAGTGCTTCCCCATTGCTCTTTCCTTTGATGGGCGCTCTCTCTCGAGTCCCTCTACCCTTCTCGTTCATCTATTTTCCCTGCCCGACCTAGTTATCCGATCTCTTTCGATTAAGAAATAACCTTCCCTGACACTTTGGAACCACCTATCGCATTTTCTATCTGAATTTCCCTCTTCTGCGTCAACTCCTTGCAGCAAGGTATTTCTCTGTCTTTTCCCCGCATCTGCCTTATTACTCCTACCGTCATTGCTGGCATCCTGTTTTACAATTGTAGCCATCTTTCATTTTGGCGGCTGCCCACCTCCGGGGTATCTGAGAATTGATGCTTCGGCCTAGCTAGCTTGCCTGCATGCAGCTGGTTACTGGCTGGTTTAGACGCTGTTTCCCTGGCGCCTGCCTTACACGCTTTCCTGTCTTTCCCGACCTCCCTTTTCTGGCCAAGCAAAAACAAAAGCCCAATCTTAAACACTCATTCATAATATCCTCAGAGCATCCACTAACAGCTTAAGATACCGTTTGAGGATTTACCTTCATACGAAAACGGCCAGCTTGCTCTTTTAAGATTCAAAAACAGCATGGCTGATAACGGATTGAGCAGCGTTGGTGACAGCGGAGTGAGAAAGAGGTCCTGGCAAGAGGATTGGGATGGGTCGGTTGCCGACTCTGACACCGATATCGATATAACGCTTGATGGGGACAATTCTCCCCGCCACTCTAGCCGCCAACGTATCTCAACTCGGCGTCGAATCCGCCAAAATTACATCATGGACTCTGATGAGGATGTTGGGCATCGTCGCCCTAAACGTCAACGTATACTGCGGAGACGAAGCACCCGTCACAGCTCGCGAGTTATCTCGGACGACGATCATGAGGACGAACCCCAACCACAAGTTCGCCAACTCAGAGA